AACTTTTTTCTTTTTTGGGTTACAGTCCTCAAAAGTGGGCCGAGAATGCACTTCAAAGAGGAGCACAGCTGAAATCCAAAAGCATAATCGCCACCAACATCCCAGCCGACCCGTTAGTCAGTACATCCCTCTCAGCGCCAGCGTCACTGCGGACAAGATGCCGTTTCAAGGATAAAATGGATTCACCACTGCAAACCTAATACTACAACCTCAATAAAGCATGAGACTGACTTGCTAGATTAAGATAAAAACTGACCATGTCTTTTCTGGTAGTCCCTCCAAAGTATTTCAATAACTAAAAAACAAAAATATTTTTCACAAATTAATTAGAAAAAGTTTTAACCTTGAAATACTGGTCCAGCTGTATGTTTTGCCATTACTTTATGTCGCCACAAGGTGGCAAACAGCCATTTGGAGCAGCAGTTAGAGCTCCATGTCTGAGCAACAGAATTCTGCAATTCATACTTGTATTCCCTCAAAGTACCTTAAGGAATAACCTAGACAGACTCTTCTGATAGGCACCTTAGCAACCTACATAAAAACGGCATTACTGAAAATTAAAAACTGATTCCTGATCCTAAAAGAAAAAGCTGATAGTAAAGTAAGCAGTTAACTGAGGACAATTTTTTTTTTTTTAACTGAGAGAGAAACTTGCCTGATACTTGATACTCGACACTAATTTATTTTAACTCCTCATCCAAGGTACTCATGTTTAAACTGATCAAGAAACACACATGCAATTGTGCATAGGAGATTAGACATCCGCAATGTCATTTTCAGTGAGTAAGATCGCCATACTCCGTGCCCTGCCGCTAATTCAAAACACTGCGGCAAAAATAAAAGCAGAAAGTGATATAAAAATACCAAATGGCAGCAATTCTGAGGGCTAATCCCAGCATCTCATTAAGATGGATGGATGGATTACACTCCCTCCGAAATGCCTCTGCTTATCGGAGCTGATTAATGTGTACAATCCAAACTGCTCTGCAGAGCCCTTGTAATGAGTTTCTGAACATCTTAATGATAAAAAGAACAATCCTTTGCAATGTTACCCAGCAAAGAACCAAATTACATAGAAAAGGTAAATCCCGCCATGCCCTTCCTCACCTATTAACTCCGGTGGACTCTTCTCCATGAAGTGCTCACAGAGTCGGATGAACATTTCTGTGGTCTCTGTAGTGGGACACTCACCATGCCTAGAAGTGGACGGGTGCGAAACAACCATATTATCCAACATGCGAGGTTCTGTCAGCTACATATTTTTAAAATAAACAAACAGTCTTCCTTTGGCCAATAACAACACTAAAGCAGACATTAGGGGCCGGATCTAAGGAAGGCAGTTGGACGTGCCTACACTGCCAATGGCACAGGAAAGGCAGACACTGGATGCTTAATCATCTAATACAAAGATCTGTTTATCGGGGGGGGGGGGTTCCTAAGCCCCCTTACCCTCTACACTGAAGCTTCACGTATTTGATTCCTTCCTTTTCGATCTCATTCCGGTCATAGAATCGACTCGTGTTTGTCAAGTCAACCAGCAATCCCATCTTGACCTGGGGAGGGGAAAGAATGTCACTATCCATTAGACTTCAGACCACAGATTATTCCTCTTAGAAACTGTAAGAGACTGGTATCTAGTATAAAGAGAGCAAGAATAAAGACAGCATTCAGACGTACAATTAGATACTAAAAACAGGACGAACAAGATTAAAGACTAAGTATACTAATTCCAAGTATAGCACTATAGCTTAAGTATTTCTTTAAAATCAGTATGATCACTATAAGTTAAAAATGTTGAATAACATCACCTGTCCCTTATAATACGGGACCATCCCGTATTGGAACATACTATGCCGGTATTTAATGGGAGGACAGCGGCAGCCCTGAAGAGCAGAGGCTGTGCCTGAGAAGCTCACTTTCTTCTTATTTACCTTAAGACTCTTTAAGTAACTGGACAACATGCTGGGGTGGAATCTGTTCTCTTCGGGAACAAGGTCATCATATTTCGGCCCCAGCATAGTCTTCATGGGCAGAAATCTTCCTGAGGTTTTAAAAAGGGAACGGATAATCAGTGCATAATGAAGCACTTGACGGTAAAAAATCTAAATATACAGGCACGAATCCAAGACACATTCCCTAGCGAAGTTAACATGACGGGATTAATAGGTCATCAGCACCCATGCATATCCTAGTTTTTGCACACGGAAGCGCCCAGTATAACATTATAAAGCATATTTTCGTTTAGTTTCTCTTTGCAATGTCCCCTTAATATTTTGAGGCGTGATATGAGAGGTTCCCTCTATTGACAAACACTTTATCCAGCTGCAACGCAACCAGAGCAGGACCCTGCCAACGTCACGTATGGAGCACTACGTGACCGGCGCGAGCAAAGCGCCCGTCCGCTGCCCGAGCCCGAGCCCGAGCCAGAGCTCTAGCTTAGCTGGCTCGCGCCGGTTCCTCGCGATGGAAGGCGGTTCGAAGACCCCCGCGCGGTATCATGACACGTGATTCCATTCAATTAACCGGCTAACCGGCTAGTCGCGCTTATGTTCTCATTTCCTGGAAATCACCCAGCTGCTAGCTTCGCTTAGCCAGCAAGCTCCAAGCCGTATTCATGAACAATTTTCTTGCCACGGCACGGCACCGGAGACCGGGCGCCGTCTGTTACATTACGGCGACAGAAAGATTAAATAACTGATATGTACGCCATCGCGGTGCCGACTAGCGTAATGGTCACAGCTTGTGTAGCTAGCTAGCTTTTCACCTGCCACTGGTCGACCCCTTCTTGGACAATTCCGCCAGCGAGGAGGTGCCCCTGAGTGTGACATCTTATGGTTTTCGAGCGCTTCTTGTGTAGATAAACTCCTTGTAAGAATAAAGAAATCGATCAGCCCCACATTAGAAAGACCTCCTGGAGATGAACCCTCCACCGCGGGCTGTAGCACTTCTGATCCGCGGCTCCTGGGCCTTAAAATTTAAAAAAAATAACTAGCACAATTCTGGAGATTCCTGGTCTTTCTCGCCAATAAACTCATATCGTTCAGTTCTATTCTACCAGAAACTAAACTATAGAAAGTCAAGTGTGACAAATAAAACACAAACTGTCCTATGTTTTCTGGAACCCAGTTTAGTATCCGCGACTAAACTACAATCAAATCCTCCACATTTCCCCCCAGAATGCACTGGTCTGGCAGTAGGAATGTCTGCAGTAACCGAAAGACACCGCTAGATGGTAGCTGAAGCCTGAAAGCAACGGATTGTGCGCACTTTATAAAGAGACGCCAAAATAATGGTTAGTCATTGAAATCTCAATGTTTATATTGTGTGAGACGAAAGGTGTAATACCCAGTAATAACCAGTACAATAACGTGACCTCTACGTCTGCGGTTGCAATGAAGAGTACTATTATAATACAATATTTTGACTTTAGGCAGGCAGTTAACCACGGTTAGGAAGAAAAGCTTTTAACACGCATGCGATTGTTATAATTATGTAACGTGTTTAATTTTGGTGAAGAGTTACTACCCAATCAGATTTTTGGTTCATGCATATTTTTATTTTATTTTTGGCAAGGACATCCTTATTCTCCAGCATTACTTTGATCACAGAGACATGCATAAGAAAAACAGTGAGTTAGACACGCAACATACTGTATTTAAAATTAAATTGAAAGGAGTATCATATTCTTAGCTTCGCACAGAGAACTGATTTGCTTGGGGGTCTGTCGAGACTGCACTCTAGCGTAATAAATGACGTAAGATATGGTAGGCCTACATAGATGAAACAACACATACTCATGTTATTGATATTAGTTTCTGCCTGTCACACAACATTGTTACAACGTCGTTGCTGCAAATTATTACATTTGGTTGTAATGTTACAGCAAAGGTATAAGAATGACCTGCATTTTTTATTTTATTTTGTCTTTGTTTTCCTACATACTGGCAATATGCTTGCCTTCCTCAGACTCTGCCAGAATCAACATATTTATTATCTTGAAAGAGAATCCATTGTTACTCCCATAACAAAATACTCTCTAACCCATTTTAACGCCCCTGTACTGATTGTATGGCGGTATGAAGTATACGTATCCTAACTTACGTAAATAAATAAATTAGCTAGCGGGGCGGGGGGATCAGCGACCAATAATATTCTAAGTTTCTACATCACGTGATGAGATTTTACCCCAGCAACAAGGACAGCAGTTGTTGCCTAGCAGATTTTCAATGCCTAAGCCAACCAACCAGGCATAGCTATCGAGCTGACAGACAGCAGCAGCCTGACCTTCCCAGTGGTAGACCAGGCATGCGCTGAGAATGCTAATTAAGGACAAAATTGTACATCCGGTAAATGACGTGCCCAAGACATGGTATTCATTGGAAAAGCACTCCTCTCTAAGTAGTATTTTTTTTTTTATTTCACGTTAAATAAACCATTGATATAGCAAGTGAAAAAAGAGAAAGGCTTGTTTACGAAGGACAGACCGCTAGTGGACCGACCACCTGTGTGAATTTAGTTTTTTTTATTAACAAACACGTATACTTTTATATAGAATAATCCTGTTAACTTTGAGTGATGAAAACTATATTCCAGTACATCAGAATACTTTGCTCAGGTAGCATATAACAGTCGAACAATTTGAAAATACACTTTATAAAATTATCATGAAAGACCCTTAACATTAAAAATGTGAACTGTATATGCCATGAAATTCTCTAGAAGTGTTTGCCGTAGGTAAAATGGAAAACCCCGTAAAGAGAGTACTTTGGGCTAACTGTGATGTGTTGGAGGAACTCGAAACAAAAAAAACGACACCGTTAGAGTTTCACACAACTGGAGACTCCGCAAGTTGATGGTAAAACCGGATGCGGGACCCATAGAAACCCTCCAGCCTGCAGTAAGTTTGGAAAGTACCGAAACGGGGCGGTTCATTAAAATGTATCTAATACTTTGTGACGTCTGAATTGTGGGCGGAGCGTCAACCAAGGCCCTTACTGATTGGATTGGAATCTTAGGACTTCGCTTAGATAGCAGGAATGCACTTCGGGCTCGGAGTTTTTCCAGTGCTGTTTCGGCTGAGAGCGACGAGTTAATTTATTAAAATTTACCAGGGGACAAAAACAGTTCAGGGACATCTTAAAACAAATAAGGGATATACATTTAAACAGCTGAAATCTAGTTATTTCGAGTTTTCGTCGATTATAGTTTGGCTACGTAAACAGGCAACAGCAATAGGTAAAGTTTTTTCTCTCAATAATTTAGTTAATGAATTAGAGTTTTGTTCATTTGAGCTGTGTGTCCATTATCGTTGGACTATTAGTGGAGCGAAATACTTTCTACATTTGCTGATATTTCTTTGTGTGGCGTAGTGGGCGTGTTTTTGTGCTTACAATCAGGAAGTGACTGACGCCATTTTCGTGCACTTTTTCTGCGCCATCTCAAACTTCGGTATACGCCGTGTATAGCCGAGCGCTCCGAGGACGCTGCCATCGAGGGACGGGCGTCGCTTTCGTCGCTAGTTACATCTTCGTTTCAACACAGCTTTGTGCGACGCCACGGCGGCTGAGCCCAGGGGAGCTGCAGCGCTCGCTAGGCACATTCCGCTTGCTGGATTTGACAACAAAAACAGTCGATGTATCTGCCTTCTGATTTGCAAGCCATGCTTGGGGAAACGTTCAGTTCTCACGATGGACTAAGCCTCGATAATATCGAGAACAAGCCGCTGACCTCGCATCTGAGCAAACGACAAGCCCTGCACAAGAAGGGCGGCAGGAAAGCGCGTCCGAGCGCGGCCGGGCTGCAGAGCCGCTTCCACAGCCTGCAGCAGCAGCAGAGGCACACAGGCTCGCTGCGGGCAAACCCTGCGCGCTTCGCGGACATCAACAACACCGTAGTGGCCGGATCGAAATCCCCCGCGGCCAATTCCGAAGGCGTCGCCAGCCGGACGCAGACCACTGTACTCACACTCCACCAGCTGAAACATGGAGCCAAAAAGGAGGTAGGATCAGATAATGATGGGTTTCATTTGGGGCAATCGGGCTGCAGGCTGTTATTTAAATGCCTCGATTTATTGTTCCTTGTTCATCTTACGCACTCGGGATTTGTAAACCGAATCAATAACAAATAATCTGCAGTCTTTATTTGTAGTTCCTGTTTATCAAGTTAAATATTCGGCTGCAGTGCATTAAATATGGACCGCCGATATTTTTTTTCCTTCATGCGTCATGTATTTTAATGTCGGGCGATCTGACTTTGTTGTGTTAGCTTTCAGTTACTTTACATTTTAAAAGCATTTATTCGCCCGCAGGCTGCAGGACGTGCGTCGCTTCCGTAAAAAAAAATGCAAACGTAGATGGAATTGGCGATATCGGCGTCTGCCGAAGGCGAAACTGGACGTGCCGCTACGGTATTGACAGCAGAAAATATGACGAAGTTTGGAATAGGATGCATTTAGGGCGTGTTTTGCGCACGTCAGCGGGCCCTGCCTGCTTTACGCAAACGGGGGCGGCGCTCCGAGACTGGCGCTGTGTTTTGCGGACGTGCAGCAGAAGCCGTCCGGCATGAAGGGAGGCGGCGGCGCTGCCAGTCTGCCAATGTTTACATAACACAGTGACACAGAGAAGCGCATCCGGGTTCTGCGTGCTGTAGCTGCGGAAATCAATTTAACTCACTGTGTTGTTTTTAATAATTGCATGTAAGATAAATAATAAAAATGCGACATTATGGTGGTGCTGATTATGTATTTTTAATTTTTAATTTTTTTTTGCAGGTGCTGAAGTCAAAATCGGCCCGGCCTGAGAAAGGGCTCCAGCCAAATGTACCGGCTGTTCATGGCCTCAAACACGAACATGCAGCTCAGAACCGCAATGGATGCGGCCAGAAGAACCGGCACGTTAACGCACCCGGGGTGGCTACGTCGGCAAGGAGGGGTGACAGGAGGCAGCAGCAGAAGTCAAGCTCTCCTCTCTGCCACGAGGAGGAGGAAAAGGCACGCGATGCGACCGACGACAGCAAGATCATAAGCGCCCACCCGGCCGAGCCTGTTGCCGAAGACAGCCTCCGTGACGGAGAGAAGGTTTATGCAGGTGCCAAGTTCAGCGAACCCCCCTCACCCAGTGTGCTGCCCAAACCGCCCAGTCACTGGGTGGGGGAAAAAGTCCCCCGGCACCGCGACCAAAGCAGAGAGCAGATGACAGTGCATCTAAAGACTTTACTTAAGGTCCAGGCAAACCCGTAATTTCAAGAGACTTAAGTATAAATGATCCAAACGGACAGACCCGTTATAATCTGACACCGAAGATAATGGAAAAACGGAAGCAGTTGTTGCAACAAAGTTTTTTGAGTTTTGGAATTTTCATTTCTGATTTCTGCAGGACGTCCACCTTGTTTTCAAGGGACTTAATGAACTTGTGTACATGTAAATATTGTAAAAACATGTAATATGTGTATTTTCATGTTATTTTAAAAAGAGTAAAGTATAGTTTTGTTACCTAAGATTTGAAAATATACTGTGTGCCATGAGATGGACTCATTGATAGGCTGCAGTACCTATCTGGGCACACTGACAGTGAGAATATATTCTTACGTTTTTGCACAAGCATGGAAGCGTCCGTGGGCTATTTGAGTGACGAAGATGCAAAGGACTGTGGCCTCTGTGATGTACCTGAGACTCGTTCTCCTGGAGTGGCTGCTGATCCTGTGGTCCGACCGGGCCGGGAAGCTGGGACAACAATGTGAAAGTCTGCTGCGAAATCGAGTTACCCGTGATGGCCAGGAACACAGACGTTCACTGGGAAATCACTAGGAAACCAAGATGCTGGAATGACAATGTGAAAGATTAATATAATAAAAAGAAAGAAAGAATATCTGATCTCAGATGAAGACAAACTGCTGCATATTTGGCATTCGATTCCTCCAACTACCAGCACTGAGTTCTCTCTTTTTCCATGAAGGACATGACTGTTTTCATACATGTTCCAGTGGGTCAGCATACTGCTGAGTCTTCAAACAAAAGGGGCATTTTCAACCAAAAGTGAACATTAAAATCCAGATTTGCATGGAATACTTCCGGAAGCTGGGCTGCTGGGGCTCTACATTCTTTGATCCAGTTGAATTACACGGACTGGAAAACATTTGGTTCCAAAAGTCAAAACATTTTGTTGCAACAATTTATTTCACGTATTGAAAAATAAGCATTTTTGCATACCGCCCTACTTATTAATTGGAAGTTTGTATGTTCATTTGTGTTTCTGCATTTGAGTGAACATGCATACATACACATACATAATTTTATGTATATGTGTATAAATTAAAACATATTTGGCCTCCCCCTAAGCTGCTGTTTGTCTTTAAGTGATTCATAATGCTGTCATCTCGCAGTGCACCTGTAAAGTTTTCTTAAATCTTAAAATGCAGTCCTGTAGTTCACACCATAATCATCCTCCCATAATTGGACGCAATTGCGTTACTTATCAAGCTCTGTTGCCCCGTCATTTCAGCAGTACTTAAGTTTGATTACAAAATAATCCTTCAATGCTGCACAGTTGTGTAGTGCTCAGAATTCTGTCCGTTGCTGCATTATACAATCGCACCCTACATTTGATGTGTATGGCAGTAAATTAAAACATATATAGTGCCCAGAATATGACTGGGAAATGTTCACTCGTATTCAATAGCGATAAACACCATAGTGTTTCTCACTTAATCTGTATCTGTCCTTCGTGCGTGATGTTTACGGAAAAGTTTATTTTGTGAAGAAAGAATAAGGAATTGGCGAACAATCTCAAGAAACCATTGAATTACAGTAGACCCTTGACTTACGAACTCAATTCGTTCGCGAGGGTTGGTCGTAACTGAAGTTTGTCGGAAGCCAAGTCAATGGAAATACCCATAATGCGATCCGAACCTCCCAAAGCACACCCTTACTTACCCTTTTCATAATAAAAAAACGGTTGTATAATGTGAGTAATTTACCAGAAACCCCAGTAAATTCCTAGTGTACTCACTAAAAAGTTATAAAATGTGCCTAGCCTTTCTACCTCGTCTAACTCTGTTGATCATGACTTACTAAATTGAGGAACACCTTTGCAACACTAGCTTCCTTATACAAATCTTTTCTTTGTAAGACTCGAGATGGTGGATTTCGACATGCTGTAGGCCTACATATTAGCAAGATCGGTCACACGAACGCCACTCATATTTCTGCACAATTTCCTTCTTCTTTTCAATTGTGGTTGCTTTCTTTACCCTCTCTTCCTTCCTTAGCTTCTTTTCTAGCTTTTTGGGGGAGCATTTTGATGCCAATTAGCGAAATGAATTGCATGAAGCACTGCACTGACCGAAATGACGCCCACAAACAGGCGTATCTGGGCTCAGACTGACGCTTACAGACGCCCGTCGGGCATCTCGACTCTTTGTTTACAGCCGCACAGGCGGATGCACGTTTCGGCCTCGATCGGCATTCGGGTCGTAACTCGAGACTTTGGTCGTAATCCAAAAGTAAAATTTTGGTCGTAACCCAAGTTGTTCGTATGTCAGGTCGGTCGTAACTCGAGGGTCCATTGTATCTACAAAGCGGAATCGAGCAGGTCACTAATAAAACGCGACATTGACTACAATACTATTACGGTGTTGGGTTTGTGCTGGTGATGCCAAACTGGTCGCATCATAGTAATAAATATTACCTAAAATACTTATTTATTAAATTCACCAAGTAAGACTGCATGACAGAAAACGATATAACTGTAATTTATTTTAAAAGTATCAGAATTATACTAAAAACGAGAATCCCAAAAAAAGCGATAAAAACATAGGTTATCGTTTTTTTCAGCGACATTTGTCAATATAGGCTAGTTATACATGCGTTTTATGATTATTGTGTTTTCCGTTATCTTAAATTTTCATTGCGCTAATGTCTTTCTGACATAAAAGTCCAGTTGTCGATTGTTATCCGTTTCCATTTCGGCTATTTAAATTATCTTTTAAAATCCTAATTGAATTAATAAACAGTCACATTCTGGCATAAAACAAACACTAAACACTCGTGGCATTTTGATACATGTTTTTACTGTTATTATGGCGCAATATTAGGCTATATTTATAAACTTGACATATGCACCCCGCACACAACTCGCTATGTAATACTACACTTAGACCTTCTCAAGCGAACTTGGAGAAATATTTTAGAGTATCTATGAACTTGTAGTTTTAAGAATAGAAGTCCTCGCCAATAATGTACGCCAAGCACTCGTGGTTTGACTACATTTACTATGATGCATTGCGCAGAACAGCTTCGCTATAAAAGACCGTAAACTGAGCGGTACAGACCATACCGAACCACCGAGGGACATGTTGATTTGTTGAACTGGTTTAAAACTCAAGAAATCTACGATATATATTTATTAATAATGTTCTTTATGACTTGACGCACGAAAATAGCAGCCTATCCTCTAACTGATTAAAAATACTGTACTGTGGTAAGTACAGTAGAATTCGTCACTACATTAACTAATTAAAAAGTAAAACGATTGCTCCTATTCATTGATTATTTCCCCCATTAACTGCATAATACTTTAAATCCTTCGCCGATTCGCTCGTTTAGTGCTGATTATGGCTGCACAGAATTGCACCGTATCCCGGGAGCAGCTGGACCAGTGCAAACAGAAAGCCGGCAGGTGCATCGACGAAGCGCAGAATAGCCTCTTTCTCCTAAGCAAAGACATATGGAGCTGCCCCGAGCTAGCTTATGAAGAGAAGAAGTCCCATGACCGACTGGTCCGCTTCTTTTCGGAGGAGAAGGGATGGCATGTGGAGGGTCACTACACGCAGGAAACGGCATTCCGGGCTTCCTGGGGGCCAGTCGGCGGAAAGGAAGGCGACGACGTGCTCAATATGGCATTTCTGTGCGAATACGATGCATTGCCCGGCATCGGACATGCTTGTGGACACAACCTGATCGCAGAGGTGGGGGCTGCCGCGGCGTTGGGGCTGAAGGGCGTTCTGGAGAGCATGCCTGACTGTTCTGTGCGCACTAAGGTACTGTACATCGAGACGAGCGACATGAGAATGGGTTGACTTTAAGGAAAATTAGCCATTTCATATAATACATGGTTGTGCAGTGGTTAGCACTGTCGCCTCTGGCCCCTGGGGTTCTATGTGTGTGGTTTTCATGTTCTCCCCGTGTCGTTGTGGGGTGTCCTCTGGGTGCTCTGGTTCCCCCCCCCCTCTCTGCGATGGGTTGACCCCCCCCCCCCACCCTGGGTTCCCTATCTCGTGCCCATGGTTTCCAGACCCCCACAACGGAAGGTTAATGTATGGATATAATACATTAGACATTTATATAAAAAAATATATATATCAAAAGTAAAAACACAGTCTCAAGATAAATGGTGTTTAACCATGAATCTCAGAGTATGTTAGTGACCATGTTCTGGAAATGCTGATCAGTTACGACTAGGTCCTACCTTTAATGTCCCTTCATTACTTCACAGCTATGAGCATCATAATTCTGTGCATTTAAACTGCTTATCTACAGAGTTAATCGATAATGACTTAAAAGCCAGGTGGGGTGAAAGTCTGGCTACACTTGCCGTATTGCTGTAAAACACGCACTTCGTACCTCGTTGTTATGATACAGCTGTGGGATGCCCATTACTGGCATCAGGAGAGTAAGAGAGAGCCTAACCCTTACTAGCTCTCAGGGACCTCCTTCCTAGTTCAACAATTAATGTCACTAAATGCCAACAGTACATGTTTTATCCCTTAATCATTGCTGTCATACAGCATTTATTAATACAGACGACCCTCTACTTACGAATGAGATACGTTACGAACGTTCGTAAGTCGTTATTCAACATCATTTTAAGGGTGTACGCAAGTACAAAGGACTAGGATGCTGGGAGTACGCACGCTACGCTGCTGCGCGGCGGGAGTAGCGGCCAGAAGACGTACTAGGCGGAATTGGTACGCAGAAAAAAAAAAATGATGTTGCGGACACGAAACGGGAGCCCAACGAACACAATTTGGGCTTATAGTCCTCTTCGTTCGTATGTCTGAAAGTTCGTAAGTAGAGGAGCGTCTGTACTTACTGTACAGTAAGTTAATGCCATTTATTTGCTCAATCTCCATTAAAGTCATTTAAAAGCTTTCATGGTCTCTTTCAGTGGTGTAGGTTTGGCTTCAGCATTCGTAGGGGCCAAATCAGCCCCGGACAGCCCCTAAGTGGCCCTTAATGACCTTGCGATCAGCTGGCATCCCATCTGCGACAGGCCCCCGCTTCTTACGCTGTAAACCTTGTGATCGGTTCCGAGTTTGCCGTGGATCAGCATAATCTCTGCGTGACCTTTCACCTGTCCGCAGGTGACGGTGCTGGGGACTCCGGCGGAGGAGGAAGGCGGCGGAAAGGTGGACATGATCCTGGCCGGAGCCTTTGAGGGGATTGATGTAGTTTTCATGGCCCATCCTTCCCAGGAAGACGCCCCCTATCTCCCAGCTGTAGCAGTGGTGGAGTAAGGATATTCAGCATTCACACATACTTCACAATTGGACATCAGAACATAAGCACATCAAGCTTGGGGCAGTTGATGGATTTTGTAACCCACACGGTCTACGTTAATGCTATTACCTGCATGCTACACTGACCTTCTTTCAACATAAAGCCTTCAGCCCTTAAGGCTCAGGTTCCCATGATGTGACGGTGAAAGGGTCCCTCTTCCGATGTCATTTTCAGCGTGACTGCGAAATACTACGGCAAAGCGGCGCACGCCTCTGCCTACCCTTGGGAGGGGATTAATGCCTTGGATGCTGCCGTCTCGGCCTATAACAGCCTGTCTGCACTGCGGCAGCAGCTGAAGCCGGATTGGAGGGTCCATGGTGAGGATGGGCGGGGTCTCCTTCCACTGTGGCCTTTGCTGCGATGCAATGGCATGGTGCCGTTCCCTCTGATCACCTGGCATTGTCATCATCAGCTTTGACATTCCTTGCATTCAGCTCCGTACACGGCGATGGTGTGTTTAGCTGTGAGATGCTTCAGGCTGCATACGTTTGACATCCCCAGCTTCTCTTCCTCCTCTCCTCTGCACCAGGCATCATCAAGCATGGCGGCGTCAAGCCCAACATCATCCCAGATTACACCGAGCTTGTGTTCTACCTGCGGACCCCCAAGTGGCAGGATTTGTCCACCATCAAGGCCAAGGCTGAGATGTGCTTCCGGTCTGCAGCCATGGCAACGGGCTGCCGCGTAAGATCCCGGCTAGCGTTAGCCACAGTGTCCTCTGCTTCGTTCTTAAACGTCTTCGGATCTGCCATAACGCCGTACCACGTCTTCCAGGTCGAGCTGGAGTATTCAAAGCACGAGTACCACAGCATCCTCCGTAACACCACCCTGGACCGCTTATACGAAGAGAACGGCCGAGCCCTGGGGGTCCAGTTCACCACCGACCAAGAGGTTCTGAGCAGCTCTTCGGGTGAGAGCGAATCCACAAGCTGCACAGAACGATAAGCTCAAGAAACTCTGACATCCACCATGGCGCGAGTCTTTCCGTCACTGCTGCAGTGAAAGTGCAAAAACGAGATATCAAGATATTCGGGTTCCACCCATACACCAACATCACTGGCAGTGTCTCGCCATGCAGGCCACGCCCCCACAGGGGGTGATGTCAGCATCACTGGCAGTGTCCCGCCATGCAGACCACACCCCCTGGGGTGAGCTCACTGTGCCGCAGGTCTGTCTAGCACACGGCGGTTGCAGTTACTTAAAGTTAATGTAAACGTGTGGATGGATTGATCTGGGAGGACATGATTTGTTAATCATGGCTCTTTTTGTTACCTCCTGCAGCTGAGCATACTGACGATACCTAAATACCCGACTGCTTCACAGGCTCCACCGACTTCGGAAACGTGTCGTTTGTGGCACCAGGAATCCACCCGTATTTCTATATCGGCACGGCAGCGCTGAATCACACGGCGGAGTACACCGCAGCTGCAGGTACGTTTACGATACAGCAGGGGGCGCCGGCCGCTACTGCTCTATGGCATCCTGTTCCTTCCTCTCAGCTGAGAAATATGAAACACATTTTATCATAGATAACAGATGATCCTGTACTGGGTAAGTGGCTGGAGGATAGATGGATGGATGGATGGATGGATGGAAGGAAGGATGGATGGATGGGAAAACCTAGTTTTAAAAAAAGCAAAACACCTTCCAGTTTTGTAGACTGGTATCCCTTCCACGGTGTAATAGGTATTTTTGTAAGCTAATCAGGATCTCGGTTTTACAGAGAGTATGTAATTTAATGGGCAGTGTGGAGAGATTCAGTGCAGCATGTCTGAGAGGCGCCTCAAACCCCTGCAGGAGCTGAAGAGGCCCAGTTTTACACACTGCGCACTGCGAAGGCCTTGGCGATGACCGCACTGGACGTGCTCCTCTGCCCAGAGCTGCTGCAGCGCGTCAGGGACGAGTTTGCGGAGGCCAAGCTGAGCGAGCAGCGGGGGCAGCCACAGCAGGCAGGAGGAGCCAGCACCAAGCCTCAACAGCGCCCCCAACAGGCAGCAGGGGCATCCTCAGCCTGATGGTTACCCCAGGACAAGCTGCCTGCTCTCACGACCTGTGCCTTTCCCGTCACAATAAGAGTTGTCTGTACCTTTAAATAATCTAGTGGGCTGAAATTCGAAAGCCGCCCCATCTGCAAGGATATTGATTATTTCAGTTTGTACCGTGAAGATTTTATAATGTGAGCTGCCAGTCTCAGTCTGTACCATGAGGATTTTATAATATGAGCCGCCAGTCTCAGTCTGTACCGTGAGGATTTTATAATGCGAGCCGCCAGTCTCAGTCTGTACCGTGAGGATTTTATCATACGTGCCGCCAGTCTCAGTCTGTACCGTGAGGATTTTATAATGCGAGCCGCTAGTCTAATAATAATAATAATAATAATACATTTTATTTATATAGCACTTTTACAAGAACTCAGACGCCTTACAGAGAAAGTACACAGAAAACAGATTATACATTATGCATACGGAAGGCTGAATGCCTGAGCAAAAAAGGTTTTTAGCTTGGTTTTAAAATCTGAAACAGAGGTCGATAAACGGATGGTAGTAGGTAGTGAGTTCCAAAGGCGGGGAGCTAAACGGGAGAATGCACGGTCACCATAGCGATGTAATCTGGAAGGGGGGGTGAGGAGAGAGCCAGACTGCGGGGGGGCTGGTAGGGTAGAAGCAAATCAGTAAGATATGATGGACCTTGATTATTAAGAGCTTTAAATGTCAGAAGCAGCATTTTGAAATGAATGCGCTCTTTTATAGGGAGCCAGTGCAGGCTCTGCAGAACGGGTGTGATGTGTTGATAGGAGCAAGTGTGAGTAAGGAGGGGGGCAGCAGAGTTAAGAACTATCTGAAGTTTATGAAGAGATTTAGCGGAGATACCAGCGAGTAGTGAGTTACAGTAGTGAAGACGGCTAGAGATAAAGGTGTGAATGAGGGACTCGGCAGCAGAGTCTGAAAGGTGTGGCCTGGTACGGGCGACGTTACGGAGGTGAAAGTAACCCAGTCTTTGCTGCAGGTGAAGGGAGGGCACTTTGATGAAGAAAAAAAACGTTTGTTTAAAATTTTTACATTTAGTTAAGGCATTGGAAAGCCTTTGTGATTGTGATCTATAATGCATCTATTCTTATAGTATGAGACAAGGTAAATATTAACTAAAAATGACAAGACATCCTTTGCAGTAGACTGCATTATATGAATATAACAACTTTTAATGACCTGAACCACCAAGACCATAACTTCAGGCTGAGCATTGTGGGGGGGGGTGGTTCCAGGGGGTTGTATTAGCTGGTCTTGATTACCATAATATACGCCGATACTCTCAACAATCACGATTGCGCTTTATCTAGCAAATCTTCTGCATTAATAATGTAACAACAAAAAGCTTCTTGCGCACACCTTAATGTTTCAGCATCTGCTTACTTACGGCATAGGTCTTGTCATTTTTATGCATAGGAATCAGACTGATGATGGATGTTTTTGGACGATTGTATCACTTTTTATGAAAACACATTTCTGTATTTTGTGTTTTTTTCCCATTTTTGATAGCCCTTATCCGCTATTATAGATTCCCTAAGTGTGTTACCCATTGTCAATTTGCACATATCTTATATTTAATCCTTCAGTAATTTAACCCATTGATGGTATCTTTTCATGTACAGACATATTGGGAAGGATCATTCATCAGCTGGGCTTATCAGTCCATGTAATAGGACAACATTTTTTCTTAACAGTGGAAAACGCCCATTTATCTTTTTGATCTTTTAACTTTTAAATGACAAGGACTCATGACACCCGTAGGGGCTTCTGACTGATGTGAGTGAGGGAGAGAAAGGCCTCACTTTGCTGTAACAGCTGAGGTCTTTAGTACTGTATTTACCTTCATGGTAATTTTGCCTTAAGTATTTAAAAATTAATGTTTTGTAGACTTGACTGTTCATACTACTGAAAATTAAAATGAGTTCTGTGTAGCAAATGGTTCACAAAACAAGAATGTGTTGGTGAAAGGTTTGTATTTTTATTGCTAGTCAAATCCAAAATATTAATCAGTGGACAAACATTCCCTTAAAGAGTATCGGAGAGACCACTGGCAGCTGTGATTTTTGATGAACCAGTGCTTATTCCATAGGACAGTTTCACCTTGTGTTTTGTCGGGGGGGTGGGGGGACACATATGAATTTCATACTACAGGGTGTTTCTGAAGCGTCAAAATCCTACGTGAGAAACCACCTGACATCAAAAAATTATGGCAAACACAGTTTGGTTTCAAAAATATGTAACGCTAAATAATAGGAGAATCACTGATGATGAATGTGACCGATCTAACATCTATAGATAATCCACTTATTTTTCTATTAGAGTAATTTAACATTTATCATTCATGATCAATTACAGGGAAATTTATATTCAGTGTGAATGAAAGGTAAGAAAAATGCTTCTGGGTTAAGTGAATTTATCCAACCAAAAGTAAATGTATACATTCAGAAATTAAACTGCACTTATTCTGAGCTGTGGTCGCTAAATCCTCTTATAAAATGCATGTTTGTCATCTCCATAAACAAAATCAATCATTTTGATGAAATCGACCTTATAAAAATAGATACGCTTCGACAGGCTCACAGGAACTTGTGTAAAGCCATTTTGATTGTATTCTGCTAGCAGGTCTGCATGACAGCTGCTGCAGAATCGGAGGCAAATGCTTCTCTCCAAAGGTCTCGCTCTGATACACGTTCATACCAAGCTGACTGCCACAGAGTGGCACACAAAAAATACACTCCTTGATAATTCTGCAGTATTTCTGTACGGTATTTGTTCACACAGATGTAAACAGCAATTACAACTGAGCAGCTCCAGTTTTTCTTGAAGTGTATGGAGGTTGTTCCTCTGAATCTGCATAAAAGGTACTTTCTGTCCGTCAGGTAGCTGTTAGCTATAGACAGACCAATAGATCATGTTGAAAAGGGCATAAGCCCCAGGGAAGACCATGCGAGAGTACTTGTCTATGGAATGTGTGTCGATCCAAAGCGCCGATTTTGCCAGGCTCGCGGTCCTGCCGTCACCCCCTAAGGCCAGCTGCACTAAGATTCTCTCACGTGTGTCCCCGTCCTCCGCAGTGCTGTAGCTCCTCGCCGCGCTCATGTCCATGCTGCCATACCTGCTCGCCATTACCTGGTCAGGGTGTGCCAGCCCGCAGGTGCAGGGCAACTGGGGAAGGAGCAGCAGGAGGAGGCAGTGTGAGGAGGCAGCGGGAGGAGGCAGCAGGAGGTACAGTGCGAGGAGGCAGTGGGAGGTACAGTGTGAGGAGGCAGCGGGAGGTGTAGTGGGAGGAGGTAGCAGAAGGAGGCAGTAGGAGGTGCAGTGGGTGATACAGCAGGAGGAGGTAGCAGGAGGTGCAGTGGGAGGAGGTAGTGATTTAAAGCCTGTTTACACTCACTAATTAAAAAGCTCTACATGCAGTGGAAAACACTTTGTATGTCTGTTGCAATTAATCAAAAGTAAGTTTCACAGTGTCATGTGGAATTAAGGATGTGTAAATACCTCTTTGAGTTGCTGCTCAAGTGTAAAATGAGACCACAGCAGCTAAGCTGCACTTTTGCTAATGTTGGTCATGAATGTGTTCAAAGCACATGTGACACCAGGAGCCACTGCTTGCCTACAGACGATTTACAGCTGCCTTACTCCATCTCGCAGCGTCCTCTCCCTGCGTTCCTGCATGGTGGTCAGGTAGTTGACAGCAGCGTATTCTATCACGGAGAGGAAGACGAAGACGAAGCTGACCCACAGGTAAATGTCGACGGCTTTGATGTAGGAGACCTTCGGCATGGAGGCGTTGACTCCGGTGATGATGGTGGACATGGTGAGCACCGTGGTGATACCTGGGATCATCAGAGGGGAGAGGACTTCTGGAGCACCAGGCCACTGCAGACTTACAGGTTATGTGGGTAACAGTCACTCCTGAGGTACCTTACCCAGCGGGACCCTGGCGGGGACGGCCCGGCGGTCGATCCAGAAGGACACCCAGGAGAGCATGACCATCAGCGTGGCCGGGAAGTAGGTCTGCAGCAGGAAGAAGAAGATGTGGCGACGCAGGGTGAAGCTGATGTACAGCCGATTGTACCAGCCTGCAAGGAGCGGCAGGGGGACCGAAGAATCTCCAATCAGCATCCATGCTTGGTGGCCGTGGTCATCAGCGCCTCATTGTGGATGGGGAGCGTATTCACCACGCTGTACCTGTGCTGCTGTAGAAGGCCAGCTTGGTGGTGGTGTGGAACTTCTGGATGAGAAACTGGGAGAGCGAGATCTTATCGTCTGTCCTGAGGGAATCATTGCCCTTCTTCCAGTAGAGCATCAGGTCTTCATCGGTGTAGGCATCTGGAACGGAGTCGTGGGCCTTCAGCGCTGGGGAGGGCAAAGGAGGGGGGGGCAACGCGGACGGGCCACGGACGACTTACAGCTCTCGATCTCCAGGGAGCACGTCTGTGTGTCCAGGGGGAAGTGGCTGAGGTCCATGTTGCACATTGCAGTCACTGTAACCCTGCAACCAAAAATCAGTGTCATTAAACCATTTGATTAAATGCGATGATCAGTGTTTTTTTTTTTCCATTTCAATATTCCGTCACTATTTTACTATTTCAGCTTTGGTCAGAAATGACACCGCATAGGGGAAACCCCCCTAATGGAACTGCGCGGGAGACCTGAACTATATTCAGATTATTCACTAGCTATGAGTTGATGAAAGCAGTAATGATAACTGAACATGACGCGTTAGCAGAAGCCGTTGGAGATATTGGGGTCCAGAGGTAAAGACGTGACGAAGCACCCTCTACAGGCCAAATCTGCAATTACACCTTAGAAATAGGCGAGTGAAGGTACAGATACTGGGAAGTAAGAATGTCACTTCTCCTGGGTGCTGGGCATCCCTGCCCTTGCAAACTCTAGTCCGACTGTGATCTGTGCTGAACGAGGCCCTGGAAATTCCCAGCTGCGTTTCACCTGGAAAGGGATGGTAATTTGACAGATACATCTCCAAGTTCCTTTGTGGCCCTTTGCCTGGAATAACAGCATTAGGGTAACCCCAATCCACCACTCCAGCAGTTGCTGACATGCTTGTCCTGATTGGCACTGAATTCCCAATCATGCCTACACTTCCATTTGTTTCAGGCTTATCTACCCAATCCGCTGGCCAGAGACAAAGGCCAATCCGTGACATAAACCACGCTGCAGCTGCACACATCGGGGGCTGTACTGCACCAGTGAGGTCAGGTGACACCTGAACGTAACGCAGCAGGGAGTCGCCTCAGTGTCATTAAAATGGATTAGGGTGGTGGGTACCTCAGGCTGTAGAGGACGTTGCCGTCGGGAAACACCCTGAGCATGACGTTGTCTGTGGTGGTATCATGGATGAAGGACCTCTTTGAGTGGACGAAGAACATGTCGGGGACCCAGATCTTCTTCAGCAACCGGCTGTCGAATGTTAAACTCTGATTGTTGGTGCTGGGAAAGGCCAGACGCTCGTCTTTCCAGTAGTGCCGCAGGTACAGGGTCATGGTGAAGTCCTGAAACACACACACACACACAAAGACACAGACACACACACACACACACAAAGACACAGACACACACACAGACACACACACACACACAGACACACACACAGACACACACACACACACAGACACACACACACACACACAGACACACACACAGACACACACACACACAAAGACACAGACACACACACACACACACACACACACAGACACACACACAGACACACACACACACACAGACACACACACAGACACACACACACAAAGACACAGACACACACACACACAAAGACACACACCTTTGTATAAATATCTTTGTGGGGACCGTCCATTCATTTCTATGGGCAAAACCCTAATCCCACCAATGCCAACCTTAACCGCTACCCAAACCTAACCTTAACCATAAGTAATCAAACATCCACAGATAATTATTAAGGTTATCCAAATGGGGACCTAAAAAATATCCCAAAAGGTAAGTTTCAGGCTTTACCACATGCACACACACATACACAGACACACACGCACACACACACCACTGCTTTGTCTACCTGACTGACAAAGACATTGTGACACCTGTCATACATCAGCATATGTACAATATACATCTATCTCAATGTGTTTAATGGTTTCTAATATGTTAATTTATAACGTTGCATAACTTACCTATTTAATGGCTTAATAATAGAATTATCTGTTCTCAGCCATAAGCACTGAGACTTGCGGTAAGTTAATGTTCTGTAAGGGACACAACCTTAACAATTTTTGGTGTTGATGTAGCTCATTAATAATGCGTTGTTAACAGACTTTAAAAGACAGTCCAGTAAGTTGGGTAATGCCTGGACTTACCATATCAACTTCAGAAATCGTGTCGAGACTTTCAACTTGTACATCAACTCCAACTGGAATTGGGGGGCCTTTAAAAATCGCAAAATGTTTCAACACAATAACAGTAGGAGAGAAAGGTGTTATTTATAATGCATGAGAAAAATACGAAGAAGAGTGCTGGACAAGAACTGATAATGAAACAATCACAAAACAAATACAGAATCACCTTCTGGCTGTGAAAAGGAATTTCAAGTCTGGGTGAGTACTTATTGCTGAAAACTTATTCTAGATTCTAAGGTTCTCCACCTTTCCAGAGTTTCATACATGAAATTCAGCTCAAGGCACTTTACATATAGAAGTTAAAAAAGAGCAGACACACAGAACAAGCAATCAGAGACATGGGTGAGGTACTGGGAACAAGTACTGTAAAATAATGATATATAAAAGGACAGTCATATGAGATAAAAATAATACAAGGTGAAATAAAGAAAAGTGACAGGGCACACACACTTACAGTCACACTATGGAGCCCATGGGTCGGAAGTACTGGACTAAATAACCAGACACTGAACAAGGCACTAAACAAAATACTTTCATTATTTTTGGTTGAATATATTATCTAAATCTCTAGAAGCTTAATTAGCTGAATGATTATTTTCACCACTCAGTGTATGAGCTTATTGTAAATTCATAGAATATAACTAAATTCAAGCTTCGAATCTCAGCGATCTCTCAGTTTGACTGTACTGTGCAGAAGTACTGTGTGCACACTGGGGGCTCGGGGGGGGGGGTTGACCTCACTCCACTCCTCTCTACATCCTGCACCTCTAACTTCAAGTACAGCTCCAAGTCGCGTCATCTGCTGGGGTTTTCAGACTGGAGGAGGAACGCAGCGTCTACCAGCCATTACAGGTCACGAAGCATATGCAAAGGTTACCTTGTGCTTTCTAATATTTGCACATTTTTATTTGTATTTTCCCTACCAGCCAAAAGTTTTTGCACAACAGAGATTTTTACAATTTTTCCATTTATTTCACAAATCACAGATTTTTATTCTTGTTAAGCATTGGAAAGTTGAGTGAACAGTTATAAATGAAAATTCAGTGTATTTGTAGTAAATGTTAAGTGAGTAACATGCAAATGTAAAAAATACCAGTGTGTGCAAAAACTTTCGACTGGTGCCGTATTTCACTCCCTGTCCTGCGTCCGTCTCTGTTATCGCGATCTGAATTAGAGCTGCATAAGATGCAAATTCCCCTCTGGGAGTCAATAAAACACATCTCATCTCATCACGTAATTTTATGTTCACGGCTGCCTAATCTCACAAATGGCTATTTACCGTCATTCCCAAAGGAGAATATACTGTAATGGGAGTTAACCTGATCCTACATACCATCAGAGCTCGAGCAAATCTGCGCATTTCCCTAATGATTATTCAGGTTTGGAGGCCTGTGTGCTTCACTTCAGCTACAGCCATAATGTCCAGCCTGTCCCAAGTCTACCTCAACCCTGCCTCAACCCTGCCTCAGCTCTGTCCCAGCTCTGACTCAGCTCTACCTCAGGTCTGTCTCAGCTCTGACTCAGACTGTCTCAGCTTTGTCCCAGCTCTGCCTCAGCTATGTCTCAGACTGTCTCAGCTTTGTCCCAGCTCTGCCTCACCTATGTCTCAGACTGTCTCAGCTTTGTCCCAGCTCTGTCTCAGACTGTCCCACACAGCTCACTCTGCAGGGTTGGTAGACCTCCAGGAGCAGCCCTGGTCTGCTACATAACTAAACATTTCTATATAACAGACTGTCACATGGTTATGGATATTTACAGCTATTTTTTAATGTTTGTTGTTTAAAGTTATTTTTATGCCTCTGTGTCCTGCTACCACAGTCTTGGAATTAGGCAACAAAGCATTTCACTGTATATCGTACTGATCATGACAAAAAAAAACAAGACAACTTGATTTGCAAACTTTTTCAACAACCTGGACCTGCACCACCCTAAACAGGACAAGTGGTTACAGAGATTGCATGGATGGATGGATGGATGGATGGATGGATGGATGGATGTCAGAGTGGACCAATCAAACAGCCAGGCCCCAGCCTCCCTCTGTGCTAAATTATGCTGCCAGTGTAAGTCACAGCATCATGCTCTGAACGGATCGGAGGTCCCTCTGTTGTATGACAAGGTTTCCGCATGGATCAGAGAGGAAAATGACGACCTGGACATGCTGCAAATTCAGCAGTAAGGCAGAGATCATCAGCATCTCCTCCGGGTGGGATGCAGGGAGACGTCAATCCGAAAACGAGAGGCAAGTGGGACTCGCTCACCCCCGAAGCCGGGCCTCATGGTGAAGTCATGCTCCCTTATCCTTAAAATCTGCTCGGACTTCATCATGCGGGACTTGGTCATGTCCGGACTTCTCCTCCGGATGGGACTGCGGGGAAGAGAAGGAGCAGCTCAGGATGTAGGTGCTGAGATGGTGCCGCTGTGTTCCAGTGTACAGCACCAGTCAAAGGACTGGACACACCTGCTTTTAATGCAATTGTCTCGATTTAAGCTGTTATTCAGTAAAAGGCCTTGAGGCGATGAGTCATACATGTCAAATACTGCAACAGCCAGGAGACGTGGCTCACATGAAAGACTATTCAAAATATCCCCCTTTGGCTTCGATTATAGCATTGCAGACGCTTGTCATTCCTTCAACCAGCTCCCAGATGTAGCATCCTGTAATGCTTCTCTAACGTCCTGAAGGAGTTTCCACAAGTTCTGGATAAATGTTGGCTACCCTGCTCTCACTCTTCAATCCAACTCATTTAAAGCCAGCTGGGGGGGGTGGGGGTTGTTGAGAGTGTGGTAATGAAAGTGTGGTAAAAAAAAGTCATGTGTGAAAATGATTAGCGGACCGCAGGCACTGGGCTGAGTTTAGTCCCTTTGAACAAACTTACTCTGTTACTCATGTTGTTTTTTTCATTCAGAACAAACTTATTCTCAGCGTGTAGCTTTGATAAGCCTCGCACATAACATAGAATCATATCTTAGGGAATTCTGTGGACCATTTTTCAACTATACTTGTTGTAATGGCAATATGTGTTATATTGTGTTGCGTTTTGACCCAATGTGTTTTTTCCAGTAATTTTAAATGCCATGCCACAAAATGCAGAGTATTACCACAGTGTGATATCACATATTCTTGCAGCACTGTGTCTGTGTAGCCTCTGCCCTGAGAGACTGGCCCATACAGGACGCACACCAAGCCTTTGCACCCCATGCAAATTATATGGCTTAAATGCAATGACCTTGATAAATAATCACTCACTCAATGTCAACAGGAACTCCACTGTATAACAATCCACTTCATCTTCTTCATTAAACAGGAAAAAATTAACATGGCGACCCCCCAGGTTAGAGCTCACCATTCCGCGGCATTACTCTACCCATCTGTCGGGATGCATTCAATATTTTTAACTCGAAACGTCCAATACCACAGTAAGTGCATATACCCCTAGAGATTTACATGATCTGCTAAATCGATGACATTATTACAGTGGAGAGTCCTCCCGCCATAAACCAGCAGCCGGCGACGGTCAGCGTGTGCATCTCCGGAAGGCAGACCTCCTCTGTGTTCAGACGCTCGAAAGCAGACCTCCTCTGTGTTCAGACGCTCGAAAGCAGACCTCCTCTGTGTTCAGACGCTCGAAAGCAGGCCTCCTCTGTGTTCAGACACTCTATCAGATCTGGTTTGACTTACCTGCCAGACTTGTAACTTGTGACACCCTTTTCAGATTCTGTCCTCTGTCTGCTTGTAGAGAAAAGAAGTTTAATGTGCCGAGATCCTCTCAGAGTCACATTTACCAGGCAAAAATGAAAGCTGACAAGGACACCGTTCTTGGAAAGGGTGATGTAGTAATATTCCATTTTGTAATGAAGGCACATATATTGAAATACAGGAACAGATGCATTTTTTAAATGAACATCTACACCATGTCTTTGTATTATAGATTTCTAAGATACAGGATAGAAGTGCTGGCCCTACTGTAACAGTGAGGGGCAACAGTGAGAGGTCATGGGGGAGATTATTCCCAGCAGCATGGGCACAGGGCTGGGGTACACCCTGGACGGATGCCAGTCCATCATAGGGCACGGGGCTGGGGTACACCCTGGACGGGATGCCAGTCCATCGCATTTGATAATTGCTATAACGTTCCATCGTTCAGCTCCGGGCATATGTGCATCTAAGAACAAATCCACCCCAAAAGTGGTTTCATTCATCATCAGATTTCACATAAAGAGAATTATGCTGGTCACAGCCAAGCTATACCAGCCTCGAACATCACAGAGCATCAGTCTGTCGAACTCCTGGGGGAAGAGGGAACCATCGGTGGTGCAGTTAGTAGGCAGGCGATCTCCCCCAATTATATTTTTAAATGTAGAAACTGTAGATAATTCTACACAAATTCTAGATAAATAAATTTCCCCCGGGGATTCATGAAGTATCCATCCTTACATCCATCCATAGAATAAACCATTAAACACAAAATAACTTGGAGCGCAACACTCTTCCTGAGTTCACGTATAATTAGTAAACATTGTGGAGTCTAAATGAAACAGATGTATTGTTAGACAACCGTATGATGACATTCTTGCATCGTTAAATACGTGTGATAAAACACTACAATGCAGAAACGTAGCCTATTATGCGAGAATGATATTTTACTGGGCAGTAAGTTTTAAATATTCTGGCTATTTATAATTTTGAATAACAGCAATGCGCAACACGGTCACTGTACATAACCACCAACCCCGGCTAATCTATTTCGCAGGAATATCTGTCATCTACCGGAACAAATTGCCCACCACGATAATATCTCAAATAGAGCAGGTCAGAAATCCGTGGAGTGTTATCTGGCTCCTACAGAGGGATGAATATGGATCTTTAGGACAAATTCCACAGACTTCTGAGGTTCTTAGAGCGAAAGGCGTCCTCCTCACCTGCTCCGGTCGTAGGTCGCCGGCCGGCGGCCGCCACGCCGATCGGACCTGCCCGCCGCGACAAGCGCACACATGCAGAGCAGCAGCAACGTTTCCATTTGCATCCTGGCGACACACTCGGAGGGAGGCAGATAAAAAGCAGGCAGAAGCTTAGATCGTGCAGGATACGACACTATGGAACCCGGCAAAGTCGCGTACAGAAACGTGGGACGATATTTAATTTTCGCAGTGGAAAGCAATTTCCACTAAACCCACAAATCCTCCATGTCAGATGGGACGGATTTTCGCTCCCAAAGATTCATCCTGGCAGGTTAATAGGGAAGCTGTGGGTCATGAGACACGCAGCTATTTGTATCCGATACTTTTCTTTTGTGCGTTTTTTCTTTAATTACAGTGCGACGTTATTCATGCACACGTGTATCACGCATAGTAAAACTATTTTACTGTTTAGAGGTGTCTGTCCATTAATAAATTAACACTTTAACTACATGTTATATACACGGTTGCTGATGTTGCGGAACTACGATTTTGTTTTTATTCAGGACTATATTTTAATGAACAGACCTAATTTTTGGTTCTTGGATCGCACGCAGGATGGTTAAAAAAGCGGGGTAATTGAAGGCTGTCCTAATTCAGTGGCAAAACTAATCTTATCACTGAACAACAAAAATGCCACCCGATAAAGGATTTTCGGCTTATGGCTAATAAATTTAATTTGGTTTGGCTCAGTGTGTTACTTTAATATCATAAATTAAAATTCAGGTTTAACTGTGTAAACAATAAACCACAGAGGATTCGAATCACATGGAACTAGGGAATTAATGATGGCTTTCTCTTATCACAGGAGAAGGAAAAAGTGCCCGAAGAAGTAATTTCGTTATTATAGTCATCTAGTCAGTGTGTCCTAATTCTCCTGACTTGAGCGGCGCTTACCGGACCGCAGCAGAGCGTCAACGCCGCTGTTTCTAACTGGGGTGAAACACGCGCAGCTATGAGAATCAAAAGAAATAGAGATCGAGCACTTACAGACGTCCCTTTCAGTACTGCATTTTAATTAGCTTAGGTAAATGTAATTATGAACAGACAAACTGACATTTTATAACATTCTTGGAAGAAAATGTGAATGCTATAGACATTCATTACGAAATAATTCACTGGAATAAGACGAGATACGATTACAGCTAAATGTGTTTTTTTCCCATTATCTGCTACTGTAGATAATTGTCTTGTGATGTGTAAAAAACCTTTTAAGTCGAAACTTTAAAACTAAAGGGGAAACAGTAAATGTTTTATCAGTTCTATAATAAGAATATGAAACAGAAATATGCAAGTCTAATAATGATCATTTTACTTGCAGTTTCTGCAGATTTTGTTGATGGAAACAAAATTAATGCATATATGCATGTTTCTAAAGTGAAATGCATAGTTAAACTGTTAAACTGTTTGAAATTATTTGCTTTGAATTGTATTTTTTGCTAAATCCTCAATTGATCTGCTCCGTTCCTGTTCTGGCTTGTGGTTAAGTAAAAAAAATAAAATAGTGTTATCAATGTACATAAATTCACGTTAATTGAATTAGTTGTCTAGAATGCCCTAGTGTAAAAATCCAGTCGAAACCAATCGGCATCACGTATCGCCTCCTTAGATGATTATAAGACTCAAAGACAGGCCTACATACGTGGCTTAAATACTCAGATACTATTGGATAGGTAGATAATGCGTAAAATTATATCACCAGGAACTAAATAAATATAATTACTCATTTAATAACTGGGAATAACAGCCGCGGGGAAGAATGTCACAGATTCATGTGGATGAATTATGATTTATTATGGCGTACAGCGTCCTGGGATGTTTTTCAGTTTATCGCCAGATTATGCCGTATTGCAGTAACTCGAACAAATATGTCTTAAAGTCGTCAATGCAAAGAGCTACATATTTACAGATATCGGGATCTTTACAGATATCGGAACACTAACTGGCTATAAGGCAATTCACACCGGCCATCAACGCGGCAGGCTTTCTGTAAAAACGTAAGACAATGTCTCCCCCTGCCGACCAAAACACCGAACAGTCAAACACGAGGAGGCGATATCGCTGTCATTAGCATGCAAATGTAGCCTGTGCAATTACAGGTACAGAGGACCCTCGAGTTACGACCGGCCTGATATACGAACAACTTGGGTTACGACCAAAATTTTACTTTTGGATTACGACCAAAGTCTTGAGTTACGACCCGAATGCCGGTCGAGGCCGAAACGTGTATCCGCTTGTTCGGCTGTAAACAAAGACCCGAGATGCTGGAGGGGCGTCTGTAAGCGTCAGTCTGACCCCAAATACGGTCACTGCAGTGCTTCATATAATTAATTTCGCTAATTGTTGTCAAAAGGGACTCAAAAAGTTAGAAAAGAAGCCAAGAGGGTAAAGAAAGCAATAATAAAGAAGAAGGAAATTGTGCAGAAATATGAGTGGCGTTCGTGTGACCGATCTGACTAATATGTTCAGCATGTCGAAATCCACCATCTCGACAATCTTACAAAGAAAAGATTTGTATAAGGAAGCTAGTGTTGCTAAAGGTGTTCCACACATTAGCAAGTCACGATCAACTGAGTTAGACGAGGTAGAAAGGCTAGGCACATTTTATAACTTTTTAGTGAGTACACTAGGAATTTAACTGGTGTTTCTGGTGAAATACGCACATTATACAACCGTTTTTTATTATGAAAAGGTTACGCGAGGGGTGCTTTGGGAGGTCCGAATGCATTATGGGTATTTCCATTATTTCCTATGAAAAAAATAGTCTTGACTTACTCGTACGACTAACTTGAGTTACGACCAGCCCTCGCGAATGAATTGAGTTCGTAAGTCAAGGATCCAATGTGTTCGGTTCAAGGTTTTCAAAGTTCCTTCATAATGCAATAGCATATAAGTCGAATGATTTCAAAGTATAAATAGGTTATTAATAACTAATTATCTGACTTGGGGACGTGTGTAATAGTACTTGTATAGTATTCCTGAACGCATCTTCTATATGTCATTGTCTTGTTTGTTATGTTTAAACCTTAACTGAGGGACTGGAAATGGCAAATAAAGTTTAAACTCAACTCAACTGCGCCTGCATGGGTCCACAACACGGACAGAGCAGGCGTCAGAAAAAAACACGAGGATAGGCGACATCTGGCGCCCTTTGGTTCATTTTTAAAGGATATCAATCGGGTTTAACCCTGATCTACCGTGCTACCTGCCCAATGGACCTCGGAGTATCACTGTCATGGCAGGACTGGGCTACGTGTGCAGAACCAAAACTGTAACGCATAACCGTCACAAAGCTACGTTTGTGTAAAAAAACAAAACATTTGCTAAGTGTTTATACAACAAATACAGGCCTAACATTGTTCTTATTCTCGCCATAGATTAAAGAAACGGGGGGGCTTTATGTAAATTATTCGATTTTAATATTTGGTTCATATTCGGCTTTTCTTACCTTAACTTCTAGACAGTGTGGAGACATCCCACATAGCACACATATGTTGAAATGACATTGATTCCATATCAGACAAAAAGGTTGAAACAACCGATGTTGATCTTCAATTTTTCACTTTATACATTGAATCAAGGTTTTGCCACCATCAATTTTTCAATCTGAAAATCAATTCAGTTTCAACGTTGATAATTTAACATTGACCATAATTCAACGCATTTAACTATAATTCAACGTTGAAACAATAACATGATGCTATCTAGGATTTTATTTTTACGTATCATTATATTTTGGCGTCTGTTTACGAACAACTGCGTGATGTTTAACAAAGCAGAGCCATTTCACTATGTAGGCACTAGGGGGCAGAGCGAGCCTAGAAAATGATTAAAATGGCGTCACAAAACTGCGATTGCTGTTCATTTGAAGCAGTGCTTCGCACCCCGGTCCTCGAGGACGCACACACTATCCACGTTTTTGCTCCCTCCCAGCCCCCAGCACCACTCTTTCCCAGCCCTTTTTAGTAGAATTACGGTTAATGGAGCAAGATCACTGCAGACTGATAATATCAGTTAAATTATAACATAATACATAACATTATAAATTTAAGACATCCCAAATTACATTAACCGGTCGGCATAGATGTTTTCAACTAGAATTCAAATTGATTATTCAGTTTGTCAAATGAAGTATTTTTTGGACAGATTAGCTGAATTTTTGCTTTGGGTTGTGTACAGTAGCTATATGGATCAATGCTTCAATGGCTTCTCAGATCGTCAGTAATGCAGATCAGTTATTGCTCATTAGATTACAAAACAACAGGTCAGTTAATGTAAAGCATAACCATAATATATTATTATAATCTTAATTATGACCTAACTCTTACATAATGTATTAACCACATATTTGTTCATGATTTGTAGTTGAGTAGTACCTGACTTACTACTAAGTTACTACAGAGCCGTAGTGTACAGTGTCACCCAGCCGTTGTTTCTTGCATGAGAAACTGTATGACAAAGTTCAGCTTCTGACATTCTGCACCCCAGAGATCAACAGGATGCCCAGCACTGCATGCTAGGTGACAACAGTGACAGCATGGCCAGGTGCAGTGATGCAGTGACTCTTTACGTTTTTTCGAGTCCCCTCAAGAAAAGTGTTACTGTTTAATTCGGAAAGCAGTGAACTTTCAGTCATTGCTCAGGCTTGTTCTATCCATACATGTCTGCTTCATGAGAACAGGCACATTCTCCACTTTCACGCCCAACCTTTGCCACCCTCTCTGCAGAGAATTAATCTGGATTTGTTGTGTGCAGCTCTGGCTTTGAAGCCAGTGCCTCACGTTACATAAACAGCCCCTTTGCCCTGGAAGCTGATCTCTGATCTGCAGTAGGCAGATGCCCGCTGATGAGGCCGGTGCATGTGGCCATTTGCAGTGTGGCCATTTGCAGTGTGGCCATTTGCAGTGTAGGCATGGGCTGTGATGGCGCACTTGCTGGTTTGTTCCGCTCATCAGAAATAAATGGGTAAAGGGAGGGAGCAGCTGGCTGTTTCACACCGATGCCTTTGTTGACGGATTAGCAAACAGCTTACAATCTTATTCACATTTTCCATATTCTGAAATGGCCTGTTTGCAATGTGCAAAAATCACAAAGTAAATGGGAAAATAATCCTGTGCGACAACCTCAACAGAAACAAAATTTAACCGCAGAGAATTTATGAATTACAGTTCCTTCAAAACTGATGAACTACTGAATACAATTTAGCTTCTTGTTTATCTCAGGACCTCGGGTTTTAACAGTAATTCGCCAGTGGCAATTATATTTGTCTTAACAATGAGTAACTCTACTCCATTACTGCGTTAGAAACAAGTTGGAACTGACTGCTTTTGTTTTACTTAGTTTTTAAAATACTTCTTGTAGAGATGATAAAATATCACCTTTTACTTCTCAAATGTTTTCCTCCTTGGGTTTATAATTGCCCATTCAGAATCACAACTGTCCCTCAGTAATAATGAACGTATCACTACCAAGGAGTTCATTAGATTTTAGCTGAGATGTTAATCAGCTTTTTGGGAGGAATTAAATCATACCATTCCTTAAACGTTCTGCATGTTCTGATGAGCTACTCATTCCTTTTCTGTTCTGCTTATCCTGTTAGTCATCGCTAAGCAAAATGTATTACATACCGCAAGCTGAATAGCATAACATGTATCGATGGGGCAGTAAACATAAGAACAGCCCATAAAAATCAATGCTTATGTCACGTGACCTTCTACAGTTTCATCAGCAGCACTGCTCTTGCTGACCTTCCAAAGTGTGCATGCGATTATGAACCAGAATCAGCTGTTTAAGTTAAAATCAACAACCCTATTAAAAGCAAGTTACACAAGAGATGTAAGCCTGTTACATAACTACTATTTAATATATACTGGAGTTTTTCCTGACTCATAGCGGGGAACTTAGCCGAATTATTGTCCTGCAGAGTGGTGAGCTTAGGATCTTTGAAGGAGATATGTGCTTATTTTCCGTACACAAAAAGCGTGTCATTGTTATTTAAGCTCATATTTATTTGCAGAGAGACATTATCATTCGTCGCTTTAGTTGAAAGCAACAATTGTTTTTAGATTAAGTGAGTTGATCTCCTTGCTGGAATAAAAATATATACAGTACTGTGCAAAAGTCAAAGGAAACGTTTAAAGCTATTTATTTGGGTAGTAAGTGTACATTTGCTTTAAAAAGAACACAATTTAAACATTAGAACATGTGCAAATTAAGAGTAACACAACAAAAACAAGCAGAAATTTCTTCTGTTCTCCAAAAAGTTACCGATATCTTGTTGCATGGCTGCTTCCGTTCCCAAACCCCCCCTCAGGGACACCCCAGCCATTCCATGTGAATGTTAATTAGTTTAAAAATTCAATGAGGGATCGATCAGCCATTCGAGGTGGAGTAGTGGTCAAGTCAAAAAGTACATGGGTGTATTAGACTGCAAATACTGGGGTGATTTTAGGAAAGGTTCTGAAATTGCTAAGCTGATACATTTACACAGCATCATAGTTTTACACAAACATGAAGATCATTCAAACATCATTTTCTTTGACTGCCTCAGACTTTCACACAGTAGTTACTTTTATGTTCAGGACTACTGCTTACACACACTAGTAACTTAGTAGTAACTTCGTCTTTACTGACACTAGATAATTATTACTAGTTACGTGGTTTGCTAGTATTTTTACGGCCATTTGGTTGCTGTTCTTGGGATTTAAAAGTCATATCTAACCTTCAGATGATTCATGTCAGCTCCTCCGGCAGATTTCATGTGCAGTGTCAGCGTGGCAGAGGACAGGCAGGCAGGCCGGCAGGCTTTCAGGCAGGCAGGCAGGGAGGCTTTCAGGCAGGCAGGCAGGCCGGCAGGCAGGCAGGCAGGCAGGCAGGCTTTCAGGCAGGCCGGCAGGCAGGCAGGCAGGCAGGCAGGCAAGCAGGCAGGCAGGCAGGCAGGCAGGCAGGCAGGCAGGCAGGCAGGCCGGGGCCCGAACTCCACAGTGATGCAGCCCTGAAGAGGCTCGCGGGGGTTAGAGCTTCGTTTTGAACTGCAGCGTAAGCAGAGAACTCGCCACAATAACAATTACAATGCAAATTAAAAGTAAACTTCCCAGCTCTTTAACAAGACTTCTGGACACAAACAGCTTGATTAACTGGTTTAGGAAAGATCCTGATGGAAATTTGGACAGGGACTGGGTTGGGACAGAGAGGGGCACCTGGATTGGATGTGTGTCCATGCATGTGGATGCAGGATTCAGCACCTAAACGCACCTCAAAGGACACTGGGTCCCACTGGGAACAATAAGTATGTTTCCTCGAAAAGCTCTGTGCTCCGTATCTTAGCGGAACAGCAACACATTCAGGCCAATTGGGAATCAGGTAATCGCACCTCTGCTGTGTGAAGGATGTCACTGGAAGGGTGGTGGGCCCGAGCCGCAGCCAAAGCAGTGTCACGATGGTGCCGCAGGAGGTAGTGCAATCGTTTGGCAACTGGAGAGTTGCAGGTTCGAACCCCGGTTCCTCTGGACCCCATCGAAGTGTCCTTGAGCAAGACACTGAACCAATTTTACTGTATTTGACTCTCCCTGCCGGCCCCTGGAGGATGGGCTCCCCCTTTGAGTCTGGTTAGGGTTAGGGTTCCCTCTGCTGCCCCCTGGAGGATGGGCTCCCCCATTGAGTCTGGTCCCTCCCAAGGTTTCTTCCTTCTAGGGAGTTTTTCCTTGCCACTGTCGCCTATGGCTTACTCACTGGGGGCTTTGGGTGGGGATGCTGTAAAGCGCTTTGAGACGATGTAATGTTGTGATAATGCGCTATACAAAAATAAACTTGTTTGTTTGTTTGTTTGAACCCCAAATTCCTCCTGGTGAGCAAGTTGGCACCTCGGTGAATGGGAGGCATGAATTGTAAAGCACTTTGAGTGCTTGTAGGAGTAGAAAAGTGTTATATGAATGCAATCCATGTACCATTTACTCAGCAAGACCGTCACAGGGTCTGTCTCTGGGGTTTCTGATTGCAACATGGCAGGTGTGCAGCTTCCCAAACAGCCAACTGCAGGTTTCACAGCTCAGTGCTTATCAAAACAAAAGTTGGTTTTGGGCTGTTTTTCCTTCATATCATCCCATTTCTGTAAAAATTCCCCAATTCAGCAAAATCAGTTCAGTCACTTCAGCTCCGCGATGTGGAACCTGCTGACACAATTTTTCAGTTAAAGCCTGAATTTATAGATGCAGCTAAGGTTGGAACATAAACACACAGTGACCGTTTTAGTCAACAACGTTTTCATATATTTGAGTTGAATATATAAGTTGAAACAACGAAAAAAAATGCAAAAATATTTGATTATTTTCATATTTATTGGAGATGACTAAATAGCTCCAGGCCGCTCCATTGATCGGATTTAAGACTGAACAGCAGACATTATTTACATTTTTGACATTTCATCTTCAGCACTAATTAAACTTCAAAGATGCTGGAGTCTTGAGCCCCCGCTGTGTGAGATTCTGAGAAACAGCCTTCAGATTTTTCTGAAATAAATAGCTGATGAGTTATATAAACAAAAAATTCTGATCCAATACAGTCTGTCTAGTGTCAAGGTATAATGATGGTGTATTAAATAATAAAACGCATAAACACAAAATAATTAAAATACTTCAATGCCAGTGTATCTTTGATTAAACGAGTTCTGTATAAAGTATGCAAACTTCAATTCACATTGTCGGAGAGTGGAACAAATTATAATAAAATACCTAAAAGGTGTTTGTTTATGCTCACATTTGAAATGGTTTCCTGTATTGCAGAGAGTTTAAATATCCTGATTATTTAACCTACATATAGAACATGAGTGTCCAGGTTCTTGCTGATGCTATTTAGCATTTTCTCAGATGTTTTAGTGCCTAAAATGACCCCAGGTGGTGATGGGCTGTGGCGTTTGACGTGAGCACAGCTTTACTGCACGGGTACCAGGGCGGTATCACCTGCTTATCTGCCCTTCAGCACCACGCTCCCGGACAGAACCAGCAGAACCCCGGGGAGAACGGTACCGAGACGACAGTCAATCAAGAGAATCAGCCAGCATCGTGGTCCCATCACTGACAGGACGCCGATGGCATAATATGTACGAGTAGCTATAATGTGCGGATGTCAAGCCAAGCCTAAGAAATTGACTGGTACCGATGGCAAGATGAAGAAAATGGCCCTGACTCAACACACACTGTATTGTAGGCCAGTGCAAGGATCTGAAACACATTAACAATATGGTCGTCAGTATACCACCAACGTAAAAGGGGCTGCTATTCTTACTGATGAATGGCTGCCATTGGCTGTACCTAATGGTGACAATCCAGGATGGCCCAATAAGATCCATATGACCCTCTGTAAGTTCTGTCACTGCAGGATTTCCCACTGAGGTGAGCTGTGTATCCAGATACGTCTCCCAGCCGGGTCTGAGCTCAGCAGTAAACGGACCAGTAGATGAGGTTGAAGATGACGTAGGCCCCTGGGAAGATCATGCGGGAGTAGGTGTCGATGGCGTGGGTGTTCTGGATGAGGCCGAGAGCCCGCTGGCCCTTCTTCTTGCCCGCAGTGGTTGTTGACTCCCTGTCGACAGATAGATGCACCACCATGCGCTCCTGTTTCTCCAGCACCTCGTCGGGCACGACGGGAGGCTGCGTGTAGCTGGCCAGACTGCTGGTGTCCACCTCACTGTATGTCCCGTCCAGCATCACGGCCCGAGCGTGGGACAGGCCGCAGGTGCATGGCAGGGACTGTGGGACGAGGTGAGGCATGACGTCACCTGACTTGTGTCAGTTTCGATGTTGTTGGAATTTGCTGTGCAGTGATGCTAAGACATTTTGTTCATATGACAGTCACTGTACACAAACCAAGTGGTTTACATGGTGCCTACAGAACAGTACAGGGGGAAGGAAATCAAGGATGGTTCTACCTGCTCTTTGGCCTTTGCCCGAAGCTTCTGCTCTCTCCCGTTCTGCACAGTGGTCAGGTAGTTCACTGCAGCGTACTCCAGAACGGAGAGGAAGACGAAGACGAAGCTGACCCACAGGTAAATGTCGACGGCTTTGATGTAGGAGACCTTCGGCATGGAGGCGTTGACTCCGGTGATGATGGTGGACATGGTGAGCACCGTGGTGATGCCTGATATTACCCGAGAACACAAACACCTTGAGTTAGCACAAGGCCCTTCCCTTCTGCCAACCCCATGATGGCACAATAACTGAATATCCCACTGAAGGAGGTCCCAGGTTCTGCCGACTAAGTGGTTCCTGGGGCTCACCGAGGGAGACCCTGGCAGGGACGGCCAAGCGGTCGATCCAGAAGGACACCCAGGAGAGCATGACCATCAGCGTGGCCGGGAAGTAGGTCTGCAGCAGGAAGAAGAAGATGTGGCGACGCAGGGTGAAGCTGATGTACAGCCGATTGTACCAGCCTGCAAGGAGCGGCAGGGGAACGTGGTCAAAGCCAGGCAGGAAGAACAGGCTCGCAGAGATGGGGGCGAAATGAAAAATAACCCTTGTGCTGAAGGGTGGAGACCATGTCTACAGCTCCGGCATGTATCTTGACGGAGCCCCGTATTAATACAATTAACAGTAATTACCAAATCTCAAACAAGTGAGAGTGAAACCATGTACAGTACCAGTCAAAAGTCTGGACCCACTTGCTTTCAATGCATTTTTCTCTATTTTAGCTAATGTCATTTATTATAGTAAAAGGCCTCAAGGCAATATTGCAACAGCCAAAAGTAGTGGCTCAACTCCAACTCTTTCCTTGTGCACAAGATGATACGGTACTTTCAAGGTGTACATACGGTCATTATCTTATTGAAAAACAAATGATGAGGCCTGTCCAAACTTTTAATTGGTACCGTATCCCTGAGTAGCACTTGCCAGCCATACCTGTGCTGCTATAGAAAGCGAGCCTGGAGGTTGTGTGAAACTTCTGAATAAGGAACTGAGACAAAGAGATCCTGTCATCGGTGCTCAGGGAGTCGTCTCCGCTCTTCCAGTAGAGCATGAGGTCCTCGTCAGTGTAGGCATCTGCAGACCGTCATTGATGGTGAGAATCAGCCCTCGGACAGCCCAGCTCACACTCGTCTAACGGTGTCGGTACTCACAGCTCTCCAGCTCACACTCATCTAACGGTGTCAGTACTCACAGCTGTTCAGCTCACACTCGTCTAACGGTGTCGGTACTCACAGCTCTCCAGCTCACACTCGTCTAACGGTGTCGGTACTCACAGCTCTCCAGCTCACACTCGTCTAACGGTGTCGGTACTCACAGCTCTCCAGCTCACACTCATCTAACAGTGTCGGTACTCACAGCTCTCCAGCTCACACTCGTCTAACAGTGTCGGTACTCACAGCTTTCCAGTTCCAAGGTGCATGTCTGTGAGTCCAGTGGGAAGCGACTGAAATCCATGTTGCATGCAGCTGTCACAGTGACCCTAATCAAGGATAGATGGATATTGACAAAGAAACGCAAAGTATTACAGCTTTGTTGGAACCTACAAAAAAGACCGGTTCCCAGGAAATTGATTTATTAAGTTCACTAAGTTATTTTAAAGTCTTGCCATTGTCCAATTTGGATTTTCTTCTCATCTTCTCATCAAAAGCTTGCTTACCTCACACTGTACAGTACGTGTCCATCAGGAAACACCCTGAGCATGATGTTGTCTGTGGTAGTGTCATGGATGAAGGACCTCTTAGAGTGAACAAAAAAGACATCAGGCACCCAGATCTTCTTCACCAGTCGGCTATCGAATGTCATACTCTTGTTGGTGGTGCTGGGAAAGGCCAGGCGGTCGTCTTTCCAGTAGTGCCGCAGGTACAGGGTCATGGTGAAGTCCTGCGTGTCAAAGTAAACAGGACTTGGGCATTCATGTAGGTTTAATTCTTCACTTAAATATAAATATTTAAATATAAATTGCACCTATGCGCTCTGGCCAATTCCCAGCTATGAGGGTTCGTCGCATTTCCGAAAACTTTGGAAAACATCCCCAAGAGATTATTTGACTGCCCTGTATAGTATTTTAAAAAAGGAACATATTTGCCGTCACCATGAAATGGTTCATGGGTCAGATAATGTCTTCCTGATATTTATGTGCCTATAGACCAGGGGTCACCAACTACTATCCAGTAAGTTTTCTATCCTACCTGGTTTCTGATGAGCCACACCTGCTCCTGGTATTTACCTGAGAACTAGTGTGGCTCATCAGAAGCCAGGTAGGATTGAAAACCGACTGGATAGTAGCTCTCCAGGACTGGAGTTGGAGACCCCTGCTATAGAACATAATTAGAAAGTTGGCGTCTTGCTTGATCATGTTAAGTATTGGGTAGGAATTTGTGTGTGTGTTACAGTCAAAGGAACATAAATAGTAACATTGCAGGAATATTACAAACAACATAAATGATGAGGAGGCTGAGCTCGCTGCTGTCAAAGCAGACATTCACATGACTGTGTGCTGGAGATTGTAGTGCTGTTTATCAGGTTACTGTGCAAGTGCAAGAAGAACAGCAGCGGAACCAAAGTCCATCATGCTCACAAGCGACAGCATCTGGTCCTGAAGTGACAGCAGCTCACGGAATGGTGTACTGATCAAAAGACATAAAACTGTGTGGTTTAAATTGCTAAAATAGAATGGCGATTCCTCCTTTCCATCCCAAAAATGAGATTCATAACATTAAGGATGATGAGGGATTTGGGGGAACCATTAAAATAATATTAGAACAATTCTTAATTAAATGACTAAAATAAATAATCCACACAAACGTGAATGTGAGTGAAACAGAGACCCTCACCATGTCCACTTCGGAGATGCTGTCGAGGCTTTCTACCTGAACGTCCACCCCCACGGGGACTGCCGGTCCTGCAAGGGAGACATCCGGACGTCGCGTTTCCACAGGCAATCAAGTTCTCGGCACCAGGCCAGAAACGAGCAACTGGCAATTCTCCATTTAAAAGCATGCGATCTGTTTGTGATATTGATGCATTCCCAATAACTTGGAACTTGAAAATTTCCAACCTCCTGCTTAAAAAAGTATTATAGAACAGCTAATTGGAATGGATTCGTAATGGAAATTTATGCAAGCAAATGCTAATTCTGTTCGCCGGCGGGTATTAACAAATAGTAAATCATGATGTACACCCTGTGAACAGTAAATAAGCATCTCTTCAGTTTTGCATCGCTGTCTCTCTCAAAACCCAGCAATTCCTTTACCAAGACATCCCTTCGGCAATCGGAAACCAAAGCGAGCGGGAATCGTACTGTAACTATTGTCTAATTACAGTACGGATTGGGTATGGGCTGGTTCATGTTTGCCAGTGGAAAAGCGCTGAAAGCTGCTGACCTCTAACGTAGCTCATTGAAGTAACTTTTGAATAACCCTGCAATGTGCCCAACTGCAAAGTAATCATGGCGCAATCCAGTTTGTAAATGGAAACTATCGTTCCCATTCAGCGCCACCTGTCTGGTGTCCTTGTCCCGAGTGACTGCATTGCATGATTGTTTATTGCAGCCAGCCTTATAATTAGGCTTCGTAAGGCTACAGCAGTATTTCTCATTTGCTGTGCCCGTGACATAATTTCACTTAAAATTATAATTACATTATAAATAAAGGAGGTCACACTCACCAAACACATTCCAAAGACAATATAACACCACACGTACATATACATCACTGTGCACCAAGCTGACTGAGGGTTCAGCTGCAACAAGTCAGGTCAAAGGTCACGCAGGGGCAGTAGCGAATTCATCATCGCATTAACCCGTTACCTGGCAATGAGGGTATTTACTCCCAGCCCTAAACCCGTTGCGCAGTCACTTCTCCCGGTAACTGGGATCATATGCGGCCAGTCATGCTTAGAGTCAGGAACATCCCCCCCCCCTTCCCCCACCAAGGCTCACCTTGGCTCGACAGGCCACAAAACACCCAGCAGGTCACAGTGTCAACTATGGTTCATTCCATTCTGCTGTTTATACAATCATTGTTTCCTGCGTACAGTTCTCTCTGTGAGATTAATTCTTGTTAGTCAAAGGTATTTAAAGCAAACGGATGAACCGTGGAAATCTGACAATGTAGAATATAGCTAAGCCCGCGTGTCTATGGCAAAGTGTGCAAAATAAACACCCTGCAGTTTATCACCAGTGAAACATCGCACTTTTTAGTGTACTGACTACAGATGAGGCTTTTCTTTGAATTTTCAGGCACTGGATATAAATGAAAATGACAAGTGATGGATAACAAGCATTTATCAGGTTCCGGAATGTTCCATCTTCTGAAACTATGGGAATTCAGGCTATTTAGGGCCTGCTCCACTGTGCAGATGTGACGTAGTACTTCCCAGGAAGAGATGGTGCCCATGAGGCTCATCAGTGCAAAGTTTGTCTAATCCGGCCAGCCAATGAGGAAAGGCTGTCTCTCTAATCCGCCTCCAGGGGAGGATGGCACCCCCCCCCCATCCACACTCCAAATGGTTTGGTCCATCATCACCGCGACGGCTTCAGACAGCAAAGCAAACACGATGAAAAAGCACATCAGCACCCCAGTGCAACCTGACATTCTTTGGCATGAACAGACAGTGTAAGATTTACATTTGGTTCTGGTTAAGGTTCCTTGAAATAAAATGTGTTTCATTTCCAGCCGTAACCTGTCACTCACAGACAGCTGGTCGGGCCTAAGCTGGTCGCTCTTCTCATGGTGCTGCTTTGACAAGTCGGGCTGATGAGCACCAAATGCCCCCCCGAACTGGTAAAGTCGGGGATTGGGAAGAACGAAAATAAAAAGTGAAAAAAAAACTCAGCGTCTTCGTCACGTGCAGCGACACCAAGGGAGGGAGGGGAAAACACTCCGCATTAATGGGGGGGGGGGTCCCTTCTCACAGCTCAGCAGCAGAATAAATCCTCTCTTACATACCACAGAGCGATAAGGACGAGCTGGCATTTGCTCTTCAGAATGATGATCTGCTGCCCCCGATGACAGATTTAAAGTTTAGCTTAACGTCGTGCATACACTCTGTGTGCGTGCCGGGGAGTCTGCATGTTCCTGCATGTTCCTGCATGTTGCGATTGTTTGCAGTCAGGCTAACTGGCATCTCTAAATTGCCCGTGATGGGCAAGCATCTCATCCTGGACCTGCTGTGATGGACCTTGACCATTGTTAGTGGCTGGAACGTGGATACATAGCGAAATGCATTAGAAAGGACATCCAGAACTTCATAAGTGGGATATATGCCAGACTAGTGAAAATGGATTTAATAAGACTCTTTGGCAAAGGAATTGCTGCTTGCGCAACATTTTCCCCAAATTTATTTAATCACAGGGTGAACCCTACAATCCCTACAATCCTACAGTGGATAAGGGGTTGGAGGATGGACAGAATTCAACCTGCTTCTACAGCTTAGTGATTTACTGTGGTAACTCAGGTCAAAGGTCATGCTGAAGGGAGCCCCAAGAGCCACCAGGATCCAGGTGCACGTGTGTAACTGCCACCGTAACCGGCTGATCTCATTTACTCCCAACGTTACTGTAACATATAAAGTCTCCATCGTCAATGGAAGGGTAAACGTCTGTTTTTTGACCCGACACACAGACATGATTTAAAACCAACGTATATCTCCATCCCTTGTAAAGAGCACTATTTTTAAATCATTAATATACAAAATTTGTATTGCAGCACGGTGAAGTTTTATGTGTAAAGAAGTAAAAAAATATAAAAAAAACATGGACACAAGTGTTACATACACATCAGGAGAGATATGCAAATAGAAGCAGTAGGATGTTTGTTACATTTTTAAGGACTAAAATTAAAAATGGTGAAATTCCTTTTCTTTGAATGGCCACCGAAGACTAGAAGACTAAGGGGACAAACTTCAAAGGCCTCGGCAGGCAGGACGGACTCCAGCGCGGGACATCTCCTCCAGCGAGAGCGAGGGGACTGCGATGAGACTCGACACCGCCTCCTCACAGCAGCTCCACGCTGCCGTCAAACGCAGCTCCTCGGAGGCCGGGAGCATCCAGATAACAGGCTTTCGTCAGCCGAGCTTCGCCAAGTCGCTTTCCTCGGAATTGGGTGCGAGAAAAGCTCAAAAGAAAACCTGCATCTGAGCGGTTTTTGCCCCAGTTGAATTCAGATCGCCCTAAGCGCAACTGCAGAATCAACCATTTCAAGGGTAAAAAAAAAGTTCCAGCATAGCAGATAATAGACTTTGGAATGTTTGTCTGTTCCTGGATAGAACTCTGCGCATCCTAATCCAAGAAGCTGCAGCCTCTGGTCGTTGGGTTTCTTTTAATTGGGAGGAGATGATCGTATCATAAATAAGCCCCAGTTCAAAGGATTTCAGCTAATGCTCAAAGGATAGCATCTTGCTTTCAGAGACATGAGTAAATAAGTCATAAACAGTGGGAGTAAACAGCAGACTAGCAGGTTTGACCTATCGGTGCAGGGACTTTAAGCAACCTGTCATTCAGGATCGATAGATATATTTTCTTTTGGAACTGGAGGTATGTTCCGGCTCGCAGGATCCTCATTGCTGGGACGTGACACCTGGCTGCGGCAGATGGATGGCCATCTCTGGGGGGTGGGACTGGACCGTGTGTCTGCCTGGGGGGTCGCCGGCCAGGATCCCGAGGAGTTTCTCTGTGTGGTGGGTGTGGCGACGTGCTGCATCAGCACATGCTCCCCAACCTGACCTGACCTGACCTGACCTGAGGTGTTTACGAGGCTGTTACTGGCGTTCGGAACTACAAAGCACACCTGCTCCTAAATACCAGGATTAATGTGAATCATTCATTTTTGACCTCAAGGTTGTTTAAGGGAGACATATTCAGAGGCTGGGAGACACTGTGAGTAACACCCCATGGTTGGGGGTTCGATTCCCTCCCGCAGCCCAAAAACATGCAGTGAAGGGATGTCTCTCAGTGTGTGTGAGCCCTACACAGGGGCATAGCTAGAAATTCTGCCCCCCCTTGCCCCACCCCCACCCTTTATATAATTATATGTATTCCAGGGTGGCCATGCCCCTACTGTGCCCTGAGCCCTACAACACGCCGGTTCCACTGGGGTTCCCCCTGTGCTCTCTGGGACAGGCTGAGCCCACTCTCACCCTGTTAATGAAACCTGGACAGATATTTGCTGCCTTTCAGGTGGCTGTGCTATTTTGACGCACAGTATAATAGGGCACTGTTGCTTTCCATAAAGTAGTGATAAACACATTTGCCTCACATGTAAACTTTATTTATTCCCAAGTGAAAATGAAGGAATATTTGGTTCAAATCTGAGTATAAACACTGCAACCTCACTAGTACAGGGTTCTGGGGGTCAGTCACCAATACGGCTCTGTGTCCAAAAGCAGGTGCTTAGGTCAGCTGGCGTCTGCAAACAGCTCACTGTGCGCCTGTGATAGTCTGTTATAGACTCTTATTTTATTAAACAATTAAAATACTTAAGAGACTCTTAATATTGAAAAATAACTCAAATACCTGCAACCGCTACACTGCTTACAGTGTCTGGAGTGCTCCGTGTTCCAGTGAATTTTCCGATTTGAATGAAACTTCTAGGTGTAGTCAAAGATGACGTTTGCTACGTCAGCTACTGCCGGTGCGGAATGTATATAGGCTACTACAAAAAAACAACATAGAAAAACACTTGTTGCATGTGTTTCAGTCAGATTTCAGGTCCAGAGAGTACAAATTCAGACCAAGATTTTGTTGTAGAACCACAGAACCACAGTAACAGAGTATGAATTTGTACTCTCCGGACCTGAAATCTCCCACCACTGAATGGGTGAAATCTCTCATTCAGTAACGAATGGGTGTGTTTTTTTATATATATATCTGCCGCTCACCTGCAAAGGCCGGTCTCATGGTAAAATCGTGATCGTCGATCCGCAGCAGCTGCTCAGTCCTTATCTTGCGTGTTTTGGTGGCATCGCCAGACCTTGACAATCGGCTGCAGCAAGACGTGAAAATGCTTAACTGACAGATGCAAGCATTTTTAAAATAAGTATATAAAATATTAGAGCAGATTATTTGAATTTGCTTCTTCTAGTGCTTTTGCGAGCTACTTGAGACGGTTATTGTGACAGAGACCATCCTCTTCCTCAGGAAAGTTATTAATTCTGGAGATCTTCACAAACACGTTGCCTGTGCGCAGTAGCTAAGCAGAAGCTATTATCCAAAGCAATTAATATTGAGGAAAAAAACTATTAATACAGCGGGAAATTTTGCAACAGTTAGATTAAGTACCTCAACTCCAGAACCACAGCAGCAGCATTAAGGGGACTCGAACCCACTACATGCGGAGCCATATCAATGTACGCCGTGCCAAAAACTGCCTCACAAAACAGCAGCGGCAACGTCTTTGGGTCCAGCACGGTCCTCAAGTCTCAGTTGAGAACAAACGCCGGGGTGGAGGGATACGCAAGTCCCAAATTACCGATAGACTTTCTCATCACAATTTCATTTCCATAACTAACAATATTTCATGCGGAAAGGCTACAAACTGTATTCAGATGTAATGTTACACTGACACACACACACACGGGTCTGTAATTATATCTTTGTGGGGACTCTCCATTCATGTCTATGGGGAAAACTCCAATCCCAACATGACGACCTTAACCATAAGTAACCAAACAAAATAGGAGGATTTTGGCATTTTTAGTTTTTTTTATTTCATTCACGTTATATCTGAAAACAGTCTCGACAACGTCAATATAACAGCTTTTTATTACATTGTGGGGAACATTTGATCCCTGGAGTATGTAATATAGACATACCCACCCTCCCCGACACACACACACACACATTATTACTAAGAGGACGTCTCCATAGCGCCACGTTCGTAAATGCTTGCGTGAAGTGAAACATCTTCGAGTTTTACGCGCAACATGGACTCGTATCGCTGTAATGAAGTTTATACACAGGATCTAATGCGATACGGCAGTAATGTTATACTATTAATTACAACAGAATAATTTAAATACACACTAAAAAAGAAAGAATTTTAAAAATTAATCTGACAGATTTTACGTTTCTTATGTTATATTGTTTAGCAAGTTAGTAGATTATGAACTCAGAAATTTTGTAAGACATTCTATATGTATATAATAATCATTATATGTACATTGTCGACACCCGTGTCACAGTACAATTGCAGAATTAAAAAAGGTAGCGCTTGTACATTGATCTTGTATTGCAACACGAAACAAACATTATTAAATGTAAGTAAATCCACTGTCATTAAATATCGTTTCATGTGCAAGTAATACAGTGTAATTTGAAGACTCGCCCTCTGCTTTCTTAGTTAACAGTAATAAAACGACATCGACGTCCACAGTACTTACGCGCCCCGCTTGTGAAGTCCCGCCTGCCCGGTCCATCTGCTTTCCTGACGGCACTCACAGATATGTACCAGGAACAACACTAAAAACAGTGAGCGAAGGAAATATTGCATTGTTCGTGCGGACTTCAGTCTAACTGAATGAGCCTAAAAACCCTTTTTAGCTGTGGTCCACAGTGGTTAGACGACTGAAGCATCTTTTCATCCAAATCAGAGTGAATGAGGTTTCAACGTAGCTGTAAAGTTTCGTTTTATTGAAATATTAAACATTCTACGCCAAAGAAGATTTCAAGCAACATATTCTCCTGCTTTAGTGATTGGGAGGCTGCAGCGCAGCTGCTTCCAGGGGTTTGGACCGAGGCACCGGCCGGGATCCGCCGGGATCGCGCAGGACGGGGCGCAGTGGCGCAGCGCGGCTCCCTCCCCGTTACCGCTACGGAGACGGAGCAGGTGACCGCGAGATGCTGCGTGCCGCTAAGCGCTTTCCACGGAAAAACTTTGCGGCGCTGCGGTAAATTCCAGTGATACTTTCATGAAGGATCGCGCACCTTCGTGCAAATACTTCTACAGCACGACAGTATCTCTATGTCACGGGAGTTAGTATATAACACGCACGTAATTCGTTATGTGCAGTTTTATTGCACGAAGGTACGGAGCTGGATCCATGACCTGATAATGGCCACGGCTAGTAGGCCAGTAGTACATTGGTGGTTAGCGGCACATATGCGTTAGTGTAGATAGTGTACAGTAGGTAACATTCTGACTGCTTGAGTTAACATACATTAATTCTGTGAGACGTCTTAAGGTGCTCTGGCGTAGATGCATGGGCAGCAGTGATTCGATCCAGGAAGGTTTGTATTCGGAAAAATGGGAATTATAGGACGCGAGCAAAACAGTGGCAAGCAAAGGTAACTGAGACGATCAGTGTGTATATCAAGAATTTATTCTGCATGTCCAGGCGAAGTTGTATGCTGCAGGGACAGGTGTAGCGCTACGCAAATGTCATTCGTGGGCAAATAGTGACATTAATGCCAATAATTTAGTAAATCAGAATGCCAAATCAATGCCATTTCTACTGGTCCGAAGATTTCCCGGCGTGCCGTTTTAAACACCGTTCCCATCTCCCTTTTGTCGGAACGCCCACACAGCGGCAGAGTTAAAATACTGCCGGCGGTAACTACAGCAAATGAATCCCTACAAATGCCTCCGAGCCACGGAGTCATGGACGCTGCTAACAGTCCGGATTTATAGTAATATTATACAGTACTTGACTATCCCGTTAACTTCAGCTTAATAAATTTGAGTCACATAGAATACAGGCTTCTGCACCATCTCACCGTCATTTAAAGCACCAGGAACTTTAAAATTTGGGTCACAACAGTAAATAAGACATGAAAAGACAACAGATAAACAGCGCTATAAAAGGTAATACAAAGCAAAGCGTTTCATTACAATGTTTCCTAATCGTTTACAAGTTAAGCTTAACTCAGGTTCTTTCTGTTATCACTATTCATTGTAAGCACACGATTCATATGGTTCAGAAGCAAAGCGGGTGTATGTGGTTCTGGGTATTGGATCTTTTTTTAAATACAGTACTCTAAAAGTACATGCAAAAACCGAAGAAATTAAAAACCACACGGCCAGTCCTGGACTTCCTGAGCCCCGTCCTTCAGGGCCGCCGCGGATGGACACGGTTCAGCACGCCGATCGAACGCGGGCTGCTGGCTTTCATGGTGGGGTGGGGGCCTACAGGTTCTAGGGTCTGCTGCTGGATGGTGGAGCCCAGAGGTCTCTGCCCTGCAGGAGAGGGGGCCGGTCACACTGAGCACCAGCCGTCATCACAGCTCATAGTCAAACTTGTACTCGTTGGCCAGGTAGACCCTGCGGAAGATGAGCGCAGCCAGAGCGAGGGTCAGCACCACGATGAGGACGGCGGAGCCGGCGTGGCCCGCCTCCTGGGGGGGCCGTGTGGCGGCGGGGAAGGGGAAGGCGGGCCGGCGCGCCGGCTGGGGCTGCTGGCTCTGATGCTGCGCCGCACGCCGCTGCCGGGGGCTCAGCGGCCGACTGCCCGCAGCTGCCTCTCCGCTCTGGTGGGCGTCCGCCTGCAAACGGTTTAACCTGGGGTCAACCAATGGCAGCGCAGAACCAAGAACATGTGATCTCCTGTACGGATGAAGATTCCATGACATCATTCTTGAATAAACTGTTCATTACATCCAACTTAACCTCTCGGGACCAAAATAAAGAAAGCAAAAGTGTATGTTAAATCAAAGCGCTGAACAAGGCCATGGAATAAGCATGAAACCCCCCAGGGCTGTGGGAAAAAAAATAAGGTACCTGCCCCCATTTCCACCATTACTTTATATTTTGACCCAGTTACAGGGACTATGGTTGCTGGATAACTTTAAGAATATTTCATAGAGAAGTAAAAAGTGAGGCTTTCTGAATGAAGTAGATCCCATTATGCTGGCAGAAAGAAAAGAGCATTCTACTGTGAGAACCACACGCCCACAGTGACCCATGGAGATGGTAGCATTATGGGATGCTTCGCTGCCTCAGGACCTGGTCAACTTCCTCACTGAGGCAGCCGGACATTCCGCTCAGTATCAGGATTCTTAGGGAGAGAGCAAAGCTGTCGTTCTGGTGAGTCATGCAGCAAGATCCGAGACTCACGAGCACGTCCACGTCACAATGGCAGGGAGGAGGACAACAAACTAACTGGTCTGGAATGGCTGTCAGAGTCCACGCCTAGACTCACACGGGAAACTGGCCGGAGACGGAACAAGCAGCTCATGCTTTAAAAGCCACAAATACGGGAGAAATAAAGCAGTTCTGAGGGGGAAGACAGTGCTGCAGCTCCACCGCAGCCACGTGAGCCACTGCAAGCATTTTGGTGCAGTTACTGCAGCTGGAGAGTGTGTAAGGGAGCACTTAAGGGCAATGGGAGTCAGGTCACTGGTTTATTACATAAATGAAAGGTTAAAAAGAAAAGTGTTTACTCAGGTTTATCCTTTATATTGACATCCAATGTGAAAAATTTGGAGGCGTCAATAATGTAGCAGATATTTACCTTACAGTGCTATGAAAAGTATCATTCTAGTGAAAAAGTAAAGAGGATTCAGGCAATTGTGGGGAAAATCCCGCCCTAATGGGAAAATGCGCTGGGATTGGTGTGGGGAGGATGCATGTCTAACGCTGCCAGCCAATCTGATGCTGCCGCCACTCACCTACCAGCACAGAGCTCTCCAACAACCTGGAGAGGCTTCTCCAATCGTAACGCCTTCCTCTCGCTTACGAACAAACAGCCTGTCATCAGATAACCCCCCAGGCAGCATGTGGAGCCCCCACATTATATAACGTCTTGCTAGAGACGCGACCCAGATCATGGCGTAGAAACAATGACACATTCCTCCTTCTGCACAAACACTCAGTTTGAAACCTCAAGAACGTTTTCTTTACTGCTTTGGCAAACAGTGCAGATATGGACTGGGTGCTGCACACTGTGCCAAAGGCTCTCAAACATCATCGATTTGGCCATTGTGATGGAAGGTCAGTCATACTGGTGGTTTTACCATTTAACCATTAGCAGCTCATTTTCTTCATTATGCACTTAGTTCCTTTGCTGCTGTACGCTGCCAAATTCGCCTTGCGGATCAATAAGGGACATCATCTCCTCAGATATCACGCATCATCTCCCCAGATATCACGCACCTCGAAGGGTGGCCTTTGTTGAATGGGCTGCACCGGTTGCATGATGGACACTTACAGCAGGAACTTTTCTCTCTTTTACCGTTTCTATTGCAGGATAGTGGCTGATATGTAGAGTATTATTTCAGCCTATATTACATTGTGATACTTTCACAAGGATAACCCATCCATCCATCCATCCAACCATCCATCCATCCTCTAACCGTTTATCCTCGTCAGGGCTGCAGGGGGCTTCGCTTGTCCCTCACCTGCTCTGTCGATGCTGCTGCAGCTGAGACTTCCCACGCTTCACTGGCAGAGGCTTCCGGGGTCTCACTGGCCGCTGCCTGGCTCGCACTGGGTTTACTGGACGTGCTGGACTCCGCCTGCGGGAACAAGCAGGTAACCAAAATGCAGCACTAGACTTCCATCCTAGTGGGCACGAGGGCGGTGGGTAGTGGGCAAGAGGGCGGTGGGTGGTGGGTAGTCGGCAGTGGGCAGAGAGCAGTGGGCAGAGAGCAGTGGGCAGAGAGCAGTGGGCAGAGAGCAGCACCTTGAAGTTGATCTGCCTGGCCAGCTCGGTGGCCTGCTGGTCGCCCAGGCTGGCATTGCTGTTGGCGGTAAGTGAGAGCAGGGCTGTTCGCATCGTGCACCCACACGCATCGCAGCAGAAATCCTGCGACCTGGGGAGAGGCAACAGTGGACCAGGTCACACAGAACAGCCATGGCACGTGAACAGAGAGTCTACATGGAAATACAGGACCCAGTACTCACACTGAGCCCTTGTTACAACAGGAGGAAACACACTGGCTAAAATAAAGCCCACCAATGTAATCCATCCATCCATCCATCCATGACCCACTTATCGTGGTCAGTGTTTCAGGGGCTTGGAGCCCATCCCAGGCTGCACTGGGCAGGGGTACAACCTGACTGGGATGCCAGTCTATCTAAACCCACACAATCACTTTAGGGAATTCAGAGACGCCAATTAGATTAACTGCCCGTCTTTGAACAGAAACCCATGAGACGTGGGGAGAACATGCAACCCACATGCAGAGTGGGGGGGGGGGGTATCCACAGCACCACCCACCGAGACACTGTGCTGGTACAGCGACATAATGACTAGGAAAAATATTCCAGGTGTTCTAACAGAAACTGACAAATACGCAGCAAGATGGAATAAATAGCACTGGCGTGGATTTCCTTGTATGTACGAAGTCTTGAATAATGTTCATACTGTTATTTGACACATGCAAGGCGAAAAGAGCTCATGTGGGATCAGGCTCCTGTGCTCAGTCCCCAGTGGATTGACGATGACGATGAGCAGGAGATTAAAACGGGGAGATCAAAGCCAAGGGGGCTGCAGCATTGTTATAAATAAAGGTGGGGAGGAAGTGGATCAGTGGATGAGCAGAGAGCAGAAGAGCATTTCTCAAGTTGCATCTCATCTTCAAAGGTTGACGAAACAGGCGGCAGTTAATGTTAATGGAGAAGTCAGACAGATGGCGTCGGGGCTGCAGTGAATTCCGAGAGAGTCCTGAACACACCCTTCAGCAAAAAAACGATCTCTGAGGTGCGACAACCTTGTTAGGAGATCATATCAGTTTATATGTTAATTTGTTTGCTTAGACTGCAACCCTGTATGTTCTCTTTTAGCAAATCTGAGAAGAACATATGCATGCATCTATCAAGCCTCTGATTAGGTGGTCCGTGCTCTGAACGCACTTTAACAAAAGTGGGTGAACGCAGGTTAATTATCCATTTAATTTATTTAGGAGACGCTTTTATCCAGAACGACATACGTTTCTTTTTTGAGAAACAGGGCCAGCCAGCCCCTGCGGCAAGAGTTAAAGGCTTTGCTCAGGGGCCCAGTGATGAAATCACACTGAGCCAGCGACTTTCCAATCACAGGTGCAGAGGCCTGATCCGCCGAGCCGCTCACCACACCCGCGCGTATTTTATTCCACTGATGGCTGCATTTGCATTTGTAATTTCATTTCGCATTCTGCAGGACACGCTTCCCACACATGCGAGCGCCATTCCGACTCGCATGCCAGAGCCCGGATGTCTGGAGTTAGCGTAGCCACTGGAGCACCATAATCCGATAAGTCTT